AAGAGACGTCAACCATTAAATTATTAAATTATTAAATTAATAAAATCACTTTATTTATTTGTACTTTGCCTGAAAATCATGTAGAAACAATTCTAAAATCAAATCTAATAAAAAAAAATTTTTTTTTAGATTTATTCCAGGAGAACTGTACTAACCAAGAAGTATTGAATGCTATGGAGCAGGAGCCGACCCGTTCCACCTCCTAATATGATTTGGTTTGTGTACTGGTACTTTATTTTAATTGTCGTCTTTTCTTGGTTTTTGATAAGATACGAAAATAGAGATCTCTTGAAACTAAATTAGTTGTAATATTGTAATACATAATCTGCACACGGTTAGACGGAACGTGTTGAGTCCTTCTCCATGTATTCAATACTCCTTAATACCAACCTAAATTGTCTTGGATTTAAGAAAACAAATTGTTTAAGAAATATTTATTTAGGAGTTTTAAGCTTCTTCTCTAATTTTACAGAGTTGAGATTAAGAGATAGACAGATACAACGGTATATATATATGATAGATAAACAGATATATAGACGGATAGACAGATACAACGATATATAGATAGATAAACAGATATATAGACGTATAGACAGATACAACGATACATAGATAGATAAACAGATATATAGACGGATAGACAGATACAGAAAGATACATAGGTATAGAGAGAGATAATTATACAGAGTGGCAGAAGGATAGAAACATAGATAAATAGATTTTTAACTTTAATAATCTATTTTTGGATAAGGGCTGTGGGCATAAGCTCATGCATACATAGATAAATAGATAAATAGACAGATATACAGATGTTATATAACAGAACGACAAGAAGATTCAAAGGAAGACAGTTAGACGGAAAGACAGTTAAACAGATAGATAGATGGACTTATGGACAGATTGACAGGTGAACAGATAAACAGATAGATAGATGGACTTATGGACAGATTGACTGGTGTACAGATAAATAGATAGATGGACTTATGGACAGATTGTCAGGTACTGATAAACAGATAGATAGATGGACTTATGGACAGATTTACTGGTGTACAGATAAACATATAGATAGATGGACTTATGGACAGATTGACAGGTGTACAGATAAACAGATAGATAGATGGACTTATGGACAAATTGACAGGTGAACAGATAAACAGATAGACAGATGGACTTATGGACAGATTGACAGGTGTACTGATAAACAGATAGATAGATGGACTTATGGACAGTTTGACAAGTGAACAGATAAACAGATAGATAGATGGACTTATGGACAGATTTACTGGTGTACAGATAAACAGATAGATAGATGGACTTATGGACAGATTGAAAGGTGTACAGATAATCAGATAGATAGATGGACTTATGGTCAAATTGACAAGTGAACAGATTTACAGATAGATAGATGGACTTTTGGACAGATTGACAGGTGAACAGATAAACAGATTATGGACAGATTGACAGGTGTACTGATAAACAGATAGATAGATGGACTTATGGACAGATTGACAAGTGAACAGATAAACAGATAGATAGATGGACTTATGGACAGATTGACAAGTGAACAGATAAACAGATAGATAGATGGACTTATGGACAGATTTACTGGTGTACAGACAAACAGATAGATATATGGACTTATGGACAGATTGACAAGTGAACAAATAAACAGATAGATAGATGGACTTATGGACAAATTTACTGGTGTACAGATAAACAGATAGATAGATGGACTTATGGACAGATCGACAAGTGAACAGATAAACAGATAGATAGATGGACTTATGGACAGATTTACTGGTGTACAGTTAAACAGCTTATAAAAGATAAAGATACCTTGACGAATACAGAAATTTAAACCTTTTCCACTGTTTACCTAATTATTCTATAACATTCCTAAAAATTATTTTTATTTTTAAATTTATAGGGTTAAGCTAAAGCACCGCAACTTGAAGTAAAATAGCAAATAAAATCTATGTTTCCGTACTAAACTTACCTATAGAAAGTTTAAATTAAATTAAAAACCTAACCAAACTTTAGTTTTCATTTAAAGAACTTGTTCTTATTAACAACTTGACTTACTTTTAGAAGTAGATTCGAGAGTTTCAATGTTTCCAATTACTGTGCTGGAAAGGAATTGAGTCTTTTCCACAAACTCATATTTTTAAACCTCTATATCATTTCAACCTAATAGCGTAATCCTTTGCTATTTCAAATTTAGATTATTTAATCTAACAGAATGCATAGTTTGAAATATCTAAGGTCTACGACATTTGGTTGAGAACATATAAAAATTAGAAAAGAAGATTTTGTTGCTAAGAACCATATTTCCTTTGTAAAAGCCAAAAAGTACTAATAATTATACTTTTTCTTACTTTATGACAAATATTAGTAAATTGTGTTTATTTCAAGTGTTTTTAATAAAAATTAACATGTTTTTGCTCATTTGTAGTGGATCACTAAGTATCCTTCTATAGTTCTGGTTTGTGGAAATAAAGAAAAATGAGTTAAAAATATATAGACGCGCGGAAGACCGAAATTATTTTTTCTTAATTTGTGAATTTTATAAACTTGCGAAGTACTAAAATTAAAGGGGTTTAAACCTCAGTATGTGTTAAAACCTATTCAAAAATATTAAAAAGCCACTTTTTATTTTTAAAATGCATAATGCAGACATTTTCTATGCAAATGTAAAAACTGTGTGCTTCAGTTTTTATCCGCATACACTACTTCATATGTAAATGACCTGGGTCCCAGTTGTAAAGAAGATATGAGAAAAGTAAGTGCTTAGTCATTAAAGTTTATTGTAAGAAAAGGTGGGGGAAATTTTAAAGCTCAGAGTGGTATTAAACAGAGGATAGAAACGACCATCTCGAGTCTGATGAGGAACATTTTAAATTGAGTTCAAATTAGCATATTACTCATTCTAAGATCCCATAAAAAGGTATAAAGAACGATGTTTGATCAAGTAAAATACACTTTTTAAATCGCAACTGAAAATAAGTTTCTAAATTTATAGAGGGACAGTCTCCAAAACTGGAAAGTTTGAAAAAAGTTTAATATTTTGGCGGGAGAAATGGAAAATCTGGGAAACGATGGTGCACAGACGATGTTCCAATGCCGCGGGTAGGATCCACACTGAAGCGAGATTTCATCCTCGATACAGAGTCTCTCTAGTCTCCCTTCTATTCAGCTATGAACCCACACACAAACATACAAACACCTATTGATGGAGAAACTATTCATGAAATCCAAAACTGGATAAAATTCTATAATACGAGGTTTCAAATGGCAATTACAAACTATAAGCTATATTTTTAAGACGTTGCTGTTGGCAAACAAAAATCTATGAAATCTATGTATGGAGTTTAGATATTTTTATTTTTTATTTATAAATAAATTTGAATTATTACATCTCTAAAAGAACCCAAATTTTGTTTCACTTTTTATTTAAAACAATTTGTATGATTTAAATGATTATCAGAAGTAATTTAAAAAACCCATCAAACCAGAACTAGGTTATTTCCTCTTTAAGTTTTAAAGCACTTTCTCTGTGTGTTGTACAATTATCCTTTAATGAATTTCTTCTTCTTCTTGAGATTTTCAAGTTTTAGAAGAAGTGATAGTCATGTCTTTTAGCTGGGCTTTTCAAGCTTTTAAGTCGCTGAGATTAATTGTTTTTTTTTATACAAAATTTCATTTTTTATATTAAAATACTTATATTTAATGTTGAAGGGGGTGGGGGGTCTTTTTTCAGTTTGTTTTAATAATGTATTTTTCTTGTTGTTTTCCAAGAAAAGAAATTAAGTCTTTGCTAAAAACTCAAATTTTCTAATCGTTATGTATTTGCAACTTGATGGTGTAAACGTCTAATATTTCGAGGTTATATTTCTTGATCTAACCAGACCTAATAATTTAAAATACTTAAATTTTGTTTTAAAGATATAGGGATTAGAAAATCAGTTCTTGCATAATACTCAATTCCTTTGTAAAATGGATAAAATGATTGTTATGATATCTTAAACATATTTTTTAATTTGAAATTTTATTAATAAAGATGTTTTCAATGCTATTTAACTTTACATTTATTTTCAAATATATTTAACAATTTACAATTGTGGTAATATCAACTTTACATGTATATATTTATATCAAACTCAATGTTAAAAACATATTTAATTTATTTTATGGCTACAAGTATTATTAATGGCAAATGGCAACGTTATAAATCAATATTTCGAAAATAATTTATAAAAGATCTTGATTTCTTCATGGTGATTTTTCTCAATTAAAAAAAAAATTCACTCTTGGACTAAATGTAAAAGAATAATAAAATGCTATGAATTTACAAGGAATATTCACATTGTTTTAAGCCTTTAAATATTATTTTTTGCTTCCGAAAAAGCAAAAACACTGCTATGGCCTTAGGATTACCCTGATTAATGGAACGCAGGTGCCATTGACTTAGTTGTGCAATTCAACATTTTTTTGGTGGATTTTTGCAAGGGGTCTGGTAATATATTCTGAGATGGAATTTAAAGAATTTGAGCCGCGGTTTAAATCCGCCAAAACCCGGTTTAAATTAAGCGCCGGCTTAAATCTTGAAACATTTGATACAATTGTAAGTGTAACCCATCATATTTAAACCGCGGCTTAAATTTAAACCGCCGCTCAAATTCTTTAAATTCGGCCACTGGACGAATGTACAGGGTGTCCCAAAAAACATGGGAATTCATTGACGAATTTGATATCGTCTTTGTTATGAATTAGCATTGTAATACCTAATTTCAACAGCCATAATATTATTATGTCTGCTAGAGTTTATTTTATGAAAAGGCTAAAAGACTATAAAGATGTGTCTATAATGTCTCCACAAGATGAACAGTGAAGACGGACAAGTTTACTCTGTTTGTATACTGCAATTTTCTTATTTTACTAAGTACAACCGTTTGCAGTCAAAACATAAACAAACAAAATGTAAACATAGCAGACGAAACTCTTACAGATTACAGCTTTCTCAGTAGGTATCACTATACTAAATCAAAGAATTATTTAAAAAGACGATATCGAATTCGTCACTGAATTCCCATGTTTATTGGGACACCCTGTAAGTCAAAGAACTTTTCATTTTTGCTAAATTGAGCTTTTGTGGATTTCACATTCTATTGAGTGTTAATGTGTTTTATCAGGTGAAGATGGTAAACGAGCAGTTGGTTCAGCTTCAAATAATGATTTAGCTGTCGAAGGTGAGTCAGCTGTCGTTTGTGATTCAGATCTTTTTTTGTGGATCAGCTGTTAATAGTGAGTCAGCTGTTATTGGCGAATCAGGTGTTGATGGTGAGTCAGATGTCATTGGCGAATCAGCTGGTGACGGTGAATTGGTTTTCGTTAGTGGATCAGCTCTCGATGGATTTTCGGATGATGATGGCAAATCAGCAGCTGATAATGACTCAGTTTTTATACTGGTGGCATCATTTTTGTCCACTGATTTAGCTTTTGTGTCGCACATTGAGTTTCTTTGATGATATGCATAAACTGAAATCATATCTTAGGATTAAAAAGACAATATAAACTGCACTATGACTGTTCATAATAAATTCAATATTTACAAAATATTGATTAACCCTATTCAGGCTGATGTCTGGTTTACCCAAAATAGTCTGAGGGGAGAGGGTCACATTTCATTATTTGATAATTTCCTAGATACAGATTTTTGGAACCCTACACAGCTGGAATAGGGTTAAATATGTAATGACCATAACCTTGGACTTTGACCTGCAGAAAAAAAGTTCTGAAGAGTACATTTTGAATAGGACAAATATTATGGAAATTTAATTCTTTTGATAATCGTTGAATACAATTATTTAACCTTCTATTTCTGTGTTCACGGGTTTTAATTGGAATTCTTCTTTAGAACTGAACGCATAGTTTATTGAAGCTGCGACCTAGAAAAAATAATTTATTAATTGGTGAGCTAATTTTATAGGAATAATCTAACCAGCACTGCCCAGGTTTCTCATGGTTATTACTGCCGTTTACTCGCACTTGGTCTTAATTTATGATTTTTCCGGGAAACTAAATTATCGCTATAAAAGTCAACCCGCTCAAATTTGAACTTTTAAGCCAAGCTAAGAGAAGTCCTGCAAGTTTCGCCGAGTTCATCAGTCAACATTTTAGGCACATCAGTCAAGGGGTTCTTAAGTTATATGATCGGACACACAAACAAACAAACAGAGACTACTACTTTGTATATAAATGATAAATAATTTTACACATATAAAATGAATATTCTAAGATCATTTTGATTTCAAAAGTTTTTAAATTTTCAACACAAAGCTGATGTTGCAGGCATCTTTATTCGAACACAAGGTTGTTTTTTGTTAAAATGTTATCTTGATGTAAAATCCATTTTTGTTTTCTAATACTAACTAGGAGGCTTTAACTAAACGTTTATTATTTATTGGATTGTTTACCCACATAATATCCTAATTGTAAACTACGAAATCTCCAATTGTTAACCATTAATCTTAAAACCTCTATAAAATGTCGTCTTCTACTGGAATCTCCTGTCGGAGACAGCCAAACCAAATTTTCAGCCCGCAAATTCCATTGTCCTCCTCCGACGGAGCTTAAAATATTTTCGTTGTTGTGAAATCATTAAAGTTAAGCAAAATATTTTCATAAGATAAACATATCACACTAAACTCTTACAGATTACAGCTTTCTCAGTAGAATTGTACAATTAAACATGACCTATAATTTATGTTATTTTTTAGGAAATAAAGATTTTGTTATCGAATTTCTGTGACGGGGTTACTCTGTTGTGTGTGTATTGTTAGGCAATCGCGAAAGAATCGTCTGGGGATAATAAACACCCCTTTCAAAATCCTAACCGGCCTATTATCCGGATTTGTCTAGCGTGTTACTGTTATCTGTCAACACCAATGTTTTTTGTTGTTTCAAATAGTGGATTAAAATATTGAAAAAAAATCGTATTAAAAAAATCGATCATTTAGCTTTGTTTGAGGGAATGTTTATGTCAGATGTTTTCTAAAATAATGAAAAATATTAATTTAGTAAACAAGCCCTATGACAACTTCCCATCTAAATGATAATTTTTCCAAATCCAAAATTAACCAAAGTTAACGTCTACCTTTTACTTTAAGTTAAGGATAGGATTAGGAAATGGGTAAACAATTTAATTTTTAAATTTTTCTTATTTTCGTCACTTTTACCTGGTTTTCTTTTGAGGCTCTTCTTCCAATGGTTGATATTTTTCCTTCCTCTGTATTCATTTCATCGTCGTCCTCTTTCCTTTTCTAAATAGGATGAGGATTTAGATGAAACAGTGAGAATCAGAAAACTACGCTGTAAATGTGATTTTCTTTACAAAAGAAATTTTCAATTTGAAATTGCTTTAACTGAAAAATGTTCAGTGTTTCAATCGGCTTCAATTGAGCGTCGGCTTAATTCTTGAAAATTTGAATAAAATTTTAAGTGGACCCAACGGTATTTGAGCCTCGGCTAAAATTCAAGCGGCTCAAATTCTTTAAATTCGGCGCAGGGCTTTTTTTACTTACAGTTCGGTTGCCAATATTTTTTGGACTTCTCGAAAAATGTCCCAACTTTTTATTCCTTACCTAACTCTTTACTAAATGTTAATCCTGCCTTGAGAGAAGATAAAAGCGAAAAAGAAACAAAATTTTTTTTTTTAAATTTCAAAACTTTTATCAAATTAAACTTTAACGGAATAAATATTTAATGTTGGAACCTTATTTCCATGTAGCAATATGTTGTGGTGCCTTTTGTAAGTCAAAAAACCTTTAACAACTCTTAAAAAAACGATGTAATTATTGCCTTTCAAGTATAGCTGTCAATTACAAAAAAAGAGGAGGCACTTATTCCACTGTTTTCTAGATTCCTACTTCATAATTGTGATCACCCATTAGTGGCACACAACTACCCTCCTAGGAGTATTTGGTAGAGGGTGAATCCCCCCCCCATGCTTACTGAGGTTTTATTAGTAATATATTTTTTAATTATTTTTCCCCTATCTCTCTAGAAACAGTAATTGAACCAGAAAACTGAAGAATAGAAAGACGACTTTAAGATCAAAGTTATCATTCCATATAATCCAATGTCTTGATGTTCCTGTTTTATATCAATTTATCGAGACAAGAACATCAGATAGATGTCTTATATGTATCGTTCAACGCCTGAGATTCTCAGGTTTCATCCTATACCCCCTTTCATTTTTCCTGTACAGTCCCTTTAACATTTTTTTTAAAGTGTATAAAAATAGAATATTACAATCTCTTAGTTCTTTTATCTCATTATACAAAATTATGATCTAACACTGAAACACCAAACTAAAATCTTTTTAAATAGTTTTAAAATCTAATTAAATATTCATCAAAGCATATTTCCACTTAACTAATTATATCATGACAAGATTTTTGCAAGATAGTAATGCGTTATGCTAGTTTATAAATTACTTAAATCAGACAGGAATTTTATGTTAATTCTGTGCAAGATCTTAAAAACCAGATTTAGAATAGAACAGACAATGAACTTTATGAAAACAAAATAACAAAAATATTAAACGTTACAGTGAAAGTTTTTTTAAACCCTATTACTGTCCTTACATTGAATCATTTTTTGAAGTAGGAATCCAGCGTCTTTTCTGTTATTTTTATTTTTCTCTAAGATGCATCTATTATTGGGTCTGTTCTATTATTTAAATTGTCTCTGAGATGCATGCATCTGTTCTGGTGTCCAATCTATAATTCTATGTTTTCTCTGGGTCCATTCTATCGTTTTGTATTTGCTCTAAGATACATCTGTCCTTAGGTCTATTCTAATGTTTTATATTTTCTCTGAGATGCATCTGTTCTGGGGTCCATTCTAATGTTTTATATTTTCTCTAGAATGCATCTGTCCTTAGGTCTATTCTATTGTTTTATATTTTCTCTGAGATGCATCTGTTCTGGGGTCCATTCTAATGTTTTATATTTTCTCTAGAATGCATCTGTCCTTAGGTCTATCCTATTGTTTTATATTTTGTCTAAGATGCATCTGTTCTGGGGTTCATTCTAATGTTTTATATTTTCTCTAGAATGCATCTGTCCTTAGGGTTATCCTATTGTTTTATATTTTCTCTGAGATGCATCTGTTCTGGGGTTCATTTTTTATTTTATATTTTCTCTGAGATGCATCTGTTCTGTTGTTCATTTTTTTATTTTATATTTTCTCTAAGATGCATCTGTTCTGTTGTTGTTCATTTTTTTATTTTATATTTTCTCTAAGATGCATCTGTTCTGTTGTTCATTTTTTTCATATTTTCTCTGAGATGCATCTGTTTTGTGTTCATTTTTAATTTTATATTTTCTCTAAGATGCATCTGATTTTGTTGTTGTTCATTTTTTTTATTCTATATTTTCTCTGAGATGCATCTGTTCTGTTGTTAATTTTTTTATTTTATATTTTCTCAGAGATGCATCTGTTCTGGAAGAATAAATGTAAACAAAGATACATCTTCCAATTGTAATCTATCAGAGTGGTGTATATGCATTATACATCAACTATTCAATCAGTTCAAAGATTACAGAGATAGGATAAATAGTCGTTTATTTAGTCAGAAATTGCCGAGATAGGTCAGATAGTCGTTCATATAGTTCAGAGATTAGACAGATAGGACAGATAATTACAGAAATAAGACAGATAGTCTTTCATTCAGAAAGATATTATAGAGATAGGACAGATTATCGTTTAGGTCAGAGGTTATGAAGAAAGGGTTAATAGTCGTTTATTCGGTCAGAAATTACACAGATAAGAAAAATATTCGTTCAAATTTATAGATTAGACAGATTTGACTGCTAGTCATTTATTTAAGTCATAGATAAGAAAGAAAGTAGACAGTAGACTGAGTAGAAAGCCGTGTTTTATTAAGTCAAAGATTACAGAGATAGGACAGATATTTGTTCAACCATTTAGAGATTAAACAGATGGGACAGATAGATGTTTATTCAGTCACAGATTGGACAGAAAGGACAAATACTCGTTCTTATAGATCATAGATTAGACAGATAGGTCATGAATTAAAGATTACACACCGACATTGGTAATTGGCGAAACCACCGTGGGAAAAGGATGAAAGTACAACATTAGGAAGAGAAGATTGTTTTCTTCTGGAAAGTTCCTGTTTGTCGTTCAAACTTCCAAGTAGGATAAAACAAGATGAGAAACTTTAACTAACTTTTTTTCATAAGAATTTTTCAAGCCTCTGTCAAAGTTCTTCTGATGTCTAGGAAACTTATATTTTTTGTAAAATTCTTTTCTTTTCATATTAACTTAAATTTAACCTCAAGCCTGTCAAAACCCCTATTGCGAAAAGTATTCTGCAGCGTGCATGTACGAATGACTAGTTATCTTCGTATATTTGAAATTATTTTAACATTTTACATTCTCGTAATGGCCTCGTTTCGTGTTTTACATTTTTGAGGGTTAAGGCCTTTAAAACATTCTCTTAGCATTTATGATTAACAAAGGAATTGAGTTTTTGTCACACAATCTGATTTTCTTATCCCTATATCTTTGCATTTCAAAGTCTCGAGACCTTAAATATTTCAAACTATGAATTATTTTATATCAGATAATAATAATAATAATAATAGAAATATCAAAGGTTAACACCATCAGATTGCAAAGATAAAGCAATTTGAAAATCAGAATTTGTGGCTAAAACTCGGTTCCTTCCAAAATTGTTGTTCTTTATTTGTTTTGCTTTTAAAAGTCCAAAAAGGCTGTAGGAAAACGAATTTTTGCTAAATAAATTTTACCAATTGTGATTAGTTACCATCAGTAGCATTTTCCACAAAAACTTTCCCCCGCATGTGATATTTTTCCAAAATGTTATGTTTCCTTTTCCAATATATATAAGTTACCAGATTTCTAATTTTCAAAGCTGCATGCCTCATTCAAAATTATTCATACGATTTTTCTTGATAAAATTTGAATGAAATATCCACGCTTTTTTCCGTTATCGTGGATTATTTAAAAATGTTGGGGGTCTCTGTACAGGTGCTCTCAAATTTTTGTTGCAGAAATGGAGGAGATTGTTAAAATGAAACACTTTTCAAGCTAAGAACGAAGATGTCTAGCACTAGCACCCTGTTATTCATATAAAGGTATAAAAACATTCTATTGTTAATAAATGTTGATGAACAGCTGATTTAAATTGGAAGAATAAAGTAAACACATATTATTTGATTTCTCAATTGACAAAATACCGGGAAAAGTTCAAATTTAAACTTTCATGTACATTGTTTTCTCCATGCAAAATGTACAGCGCTACCCACTGAGGCTGTAAAGACGACCTAAAGTTAAAGGGAATGACCGGTTATGTAAGGTAGTTGAACTGAGTATGCAGTGTTGTGGAAAACTTCTTTCGGATTCATTTGATACATATTAAACTTTTTAAAGATCTGTAAATCCTGAGTTATTTTCTCAAATTCTTCAAATCCGTCTTTTCAATAATAATTCTAGAAAATCTGTAGAAAATCTTTGTGAATAATGAGAAACCAGAATAATGAGAAAATAGAAACTAATAATTGAACAAGATTACTTATTTTCGATGATAAGATTAATTTTAATTTTCTCAACATGTTCCTATACATGACATCCGTAGTTTATTGTAGAAAACTTTTACTTTTACATTTAATGTCGTCGTTATTTAATAATTTAAAAAAAACTAATTCTGAAAACGTATCCACCCTCAAAGTAGGAGTTTTGAACGTCGAATTTGCGCTCAAACTCAGGATTAACAGATCTTTAAAAAGTTTAATATGTCTCAAATGAATCCGAAAGAAGTTTTCCATAACACTGCATACTCAGTTCAACTACCTTACATAGCCGATCACTCCCTTTAAAAATTAAATCAATTCTTCTGCCTTGGATATAGATTCTTAATGACTTACTAAAAACATTTGCAAAGAATGAAACACGCTTACAGTTGCTAGGAATCATGAACATACGGGAACAGACAGACAACATTCCGTACAGTCGGCTCTAAAGTCTTATCCTTTGTGAGTAACCCTGTACTCCTGTACTCCTGTACTCCTGTACTCCTGTACTCTTGTACTCCTGTACTTTTTGATAAAAGCAAACTATTTCTTATTATTTTGAATGAAAGGAAGAATGAAGATTAGGATTAGCCATTGATTCTTGGATGTGAGTGAGCTGACGCGGACTCAAGTTTATAAGAATAAGTGTCCTCATAAACTATTACGTAGAAGAGGTTGACGGATACACTCGAACATTCATTACAGGGTTAGGTGGGGAATATCTACACTACAGGGTTAGGTGGGGAATATCTACACTACAGGGTTAGGTGGGGAATATCTACACTACAGGGTTAGGTGGGGAATATCTACACTACAGGGTTAGGTGGGGAATATCTACACTACAGGGTTAGGTGGGGAATATCTACACTACAGGGTTAGGTGGGGAATATCTACACTACAGGGTTAGGTGGGGAATATCTACACTACAGGGTTAGGTGGGGAATATCTACACTACAGGGTTAGGTGGGGAATATCTACACTACAGGGTTAGGTGGGGAATATCTACACTACAGGGTTAGGTGGGGAATATCTACACTACAGGGTTAGGTGGGGAATAACTACACTACAGGGTTAGGTGGGGAATAACTACACTACAGGGTTAGGTGGGGAATATCTACACTACAGGGTTAGGTGGGGAATATCTACACTACAGGGTTAGGTGGGGAATATCTACACTACAGGGTTAGGTGGGGAATAACTACACTACAGGGTTAGGTGGGGAATAACTACACTACAGGGTTAGGTGGGGAATATCTACACTACAGGGTTAGGTGGGGAATATCTACACTACAGGGTTAGGTGGGGAATATCTACACTACAGGGTTAGGTGGGGAATAACTACACTACAGGGTTAGGTGGGGAATAACTACACTACAGGGGGGTTGAAAAAGAATTATTTCAGTTTAAGTGAAAGACTGCTAAAAAACTGTAATCCCTATTTCTTTCCTAATATAGTGAAGAATTGAAATATCAAACGTTTACATCAGGTTAAAGTGATATAATAATAAAATCTGAATTTGTGGAAAGAATTCAGTTCCTTTCTAAGTTACTTGTCATTTAAGCTAAAATATTCCACACGTTAATTTAAGCCTAAAATATGCCACACGTTAATTTAAGCCAAAAATATGCCACACGTTAATTTAAACCTAAAATATGCCACACGTTAATTTAAGCCAAACATACCACACGTTAATTTAAACCTTAAATATGCCAAAAGGTTAATTTAAGCCTAAAATATTCCACACGTTAATTTAAGCCAAAAATATGCCAGACGTTAATTTAAGCTTAAAATATGCCACACGTTAATTTAAACCTAAAATATGCCACACGTTAATTTAAGCCAAAAATACCACACGTTAATTTAAACCTTAAATATGCCAAAAGGTTAATCTAAGTCTAAAATATTCCACACGTTAATTTAAGCCTAAAATATGCCACACGTTAATTTAAGCCAAAAATACCACACGTTAATTTAAACCTAAAATATGCCGCACGTTAATTTAAGCCTAAAATATGCCACAGGTTAATTTATGCTGCCTAAAATATGCCACACGTTAATTTAAGCCTAAAATATGCCACACATTTTTAATTTAAGCCTAAAATATGCCACACGTTAATTTAAGCCTAAAAATCCTTTGGGGCTAAACATTGAGTCTAATGTTTTTACTATAGCCCAACAGGCAAAGTCATAGACTTTTTAGAGTTCAAAACAAAGTTTAATTTTACCTGGTGGGGTTCAGGTCCAATTAGTGCTAGAGCCACAGGTAGAAATATCAGACCGTGGTATAAACCAAAAAGAACCACAAGCATAAATATCTAAACACATATAAAAAATTGAAAATATCTATATATTTAACATTTTGAAAAATAAATTGTGTTTCTGCCACAAACTCAAAAATTCTAATCTTTGCAACCAGATTGTATAAACCTTTGATATTTCAATCTTGGATTATTTGATTCAACATAATTCAAAGTTTGAAATATCTAAAATCTACGACGTTGGGTTTCAAAATATAGGGATTAGAAAATCAGACTTTGTGGCACAAACTCAATTCCTTTCTTTAACCTCTCTTTCCACACGTTGAATTTTATAAGTAATTCAGAGAACGTATTGATAACTCTTTCCCTAGTGTTTTGAAAGTAGTTCAATTAGTCAGACCTAGTTAAACTACTCCATTTCATTTTATCCGCCGTCTAAAAGTGCACTATATATTTATTTATTTATTTTAAGAACATATCTTCAACTGTATATTATACAGGCCTTCGGGGAATATACTCATGATTACTTTTATGAATAAAATCTACCATTGGATTATATATCAGAGTTAGAAGTNGAAAATTCATCTAGAAGCAAAAAGTTTAATTCTCTTAATTAATGTTATTTTAACTGCTTTTAACTGTACATTTTCTAGATCAATAAATATGTTTTTATTTCAACAGTCAGTTGTTTGTCAAAGAGGAGGTTTTTATGTTAATGTTATCATTGTCAATATAGTTTCACTTGTTAAAGGTTGACTTTTTAAAAGATCCTTCACGTTTTATATAAATACTCAATCAACATTAAAAAGGAAATCAAAAATCAAATTCTTAACAATCAGTTTGGAATTGTTAACAGATTTGTTTAAATTTCTTTTGATCAAAAGAAAATGTGATCAATTCATTTTAAAATTCGTCAGGGGCATATAAAAGGTGGCACATAGAAGTTTTCAGTCCCCCCCCCCCCCTCCTAAATTGTCAACAATTTTAAGCCCCTGGACAAATTTCCGTATACGCCCCTTCGCTTGGTCCTTGATTTCCCTTGTCTGAAAAAATGACTAAACTCAGCAAATTTATAATTAGATTGAGCAGAAGACGATAAATTAGAGGTCCTGGAGCACGGTAGACTAGAACTCCTAACTAAAAGTCCAGAGAGTCTAAGCAATATATCGAACCTATATTGACCCATTAATTACACTCCTCTGCAGCTTTAGTAATTGTAAAGTCCAAAGTAGGACTGCAAAGGTTGGCCCAGCTCGGATATTCAAATGTACGCCGGTGGGACGTGTAATATAGATTTTTCGTATTTATTATTTTGTACTTTTTTCTTAAATTTTACATTTTAAATATGTATGCATAATAAGATCTCTTGCGCTATTATTTACGGATTTTGTTGAAAGATCAAAATAGAAAATCCTTTTTCACAGCTTCGTTGTAGTTAGTTTTGCGTGGGACTGCCCTGTCAAATAATAAAGTGAGATAAAACGAATAAAAATCAACATAAAAAAATGTTCCTGTAAAAATGAAAATAAAGTTAAATAAAAAGTTTTTATTTGTATACTGAGCTGTGGACCGTATACATGTGTTATCTTATCATAATTGCATTTTCAATCAAAAAATAAATAGTTTTCTTTGTGATGTTATGACACTTTTGTAGCGTTTAATATTTGTATGTACATTTATATATTGTTAGGATGTTCATATTTTTCGGAGTTAATCATTAAAATAAAAAAGTATCTTATAAACTTTAATGAAAAAAGCAAGTGTCTGAATAAAGAAAAGTGTATAAAGTTACCCTCAAAGAATGAGACTCTAATAACGACTTTTATAAGTTTTACGGTTTATTAGTCTTAAATATTGTCTTTATATAGGTGTACTAAACTTTTTGGCAAAGCCAGCAAAAACTTTAAAGCATTAGGGAACCATCAATTTGAGATAAAGCACTAAATTAATTCAGTACTGTCGTCTTAGTTTGTAGCCTTTCAAAGTTTCAAACTTTTATTTCTAGATGAGAAACTGGAGCCAACATTAAAAAGCAAACTGGTATTGACTAAGGTTGACTTAGGTTGACCAAGGTTGACTGAGATTGACTAAGGGTGACTAAGGTTGACCAAGGTTGACTAAGGTTGACAAAGATTGACTAAGGTTGATGGCTTTGTGATCTCGTAGCTGCCCTAATGTTGATTTCACGCACAAGAAAAAGCAAGATTATTGTTTACAAAAACGCGTACAACAAATTTAAATCAACAAAAGTTATAATTTAAAAATGTGCTACTAGAATCTAACAATATTGATTCTAGCTGAAGGAAAACAAAATGGCGTCTCTCACCCTGAAAAAGGAGATGAACACGTGGGACTTTGATCCAACAGTAAAGATGAAAGCAAGGAAGGTGCTAAACCCTCCATTGAGAACTGCTGGACCGATCTCAGTCAGTGTGCTTCTCATTCTTTCAGATTTACTCCCTGAAACCCATATTATTAATTTTATATTAATAAAATAATAAAAAATAAGTGGAAAGTGAGGGAGAAATGTCAGATAATTTACTAATTGTGAAATGTAGATTTTAAAATGCATCAAAATATTTAATATTAATGCAATTTTTAATGCTTATGTTATTTTTAGGAGCAAAAAACGGTACAATTAGAAATTGAGTTTTTGCCTTAAGTTATGATTTTTTAATTTCTATATTTTTATAATTAAATGTCATGGCCTTATTTTTTTATTAGAATCCTACCTTTTTGTATAAGAAAAGTATGAGCAACATGAGCACTATAGTCCACTGTTAGTCCTATAGCAATCTCAAGGTTTACACAGGATATTACATCTACGGTTAGTCCCCAGAAATGCATGTAACCAGCAACATTTACCTAAACAAAGTTTGTATTCAGCGACATTTAAGTTGAAGCAGGGATATGTCTGATATGTCTGATATGTCTGATTCACAATAATTTGATAGATATCGTCGTTTTTAAAGGGACTGTAAGCTTAATTTCCAGTGACTCTCAATCAAAAGATGACAATGTCCGATTAAAAACGTTAGCCTTGAAAGATTTATACATATATCAACGTTTATAATTAAGAAAAAAACTGATTGTAGTTTGTCTACAAAATTAAGATTTCAAATGAAGGAAACTATCAGAATTAAACACTTTTAAATAGTTCGATCACAATATAACTGAGTTAAATATTTAAGGTGCACCGTTGAAAATCAGACATTGCCATTGAGGGTCTCTTTAAATTACTCTTACAGTCCCTTTAAAGTCTGAAAGTAAATAATCCAAACAATTTCATCCATGGTTTCTGAATCAGAAACCCGCGTGTCAGTCTTTAAAGATACCGCCATTGAAAAAAATCAATTTTTAGAAAAAAAATCAATTTTAAAAAAAAATCAATTTTTAGAAAAAAAATCAATTTTTAGAAAAAAAATCAATTTTTAGAAAAAAAAATCAATTTTTAGAAAAAAAATCAATTTTTAGAAAAAAATCAATTTTTAGAAAAAAAATGCTTTATTGATCAAAAAATGTCTTTACAACTACAAGTACCGTTGTAAATCAGACATCCCTCCCTTTCTTAACAGGGAGTATCGACGATACTTGAAAGGGGTTTATAAAAGGCACAATTATTACAGCAAGTACCGGCCACCACAATACAAGAAATGTATTTTGATTTTTTCCCTAAAAAAATGTTTCCTTTTTAACTTAAACATCTTTTTCAAATAACAGATGAAAATTAAGCAGTCTATCAAGCCAATAAGAATATTAAACAATTTTCACCGAATTTTTGATAGATATTTACTGTCTTTGATCTATTCGAAAAGTCGATTAACGATTACAACATTAGGATTTCAATTCTTGCAGATTTTTATGTTTTATATCTGACTGCAAAGTATAACTAAAACTGTATATTTATGTTTTATATCTGACTGCAAAGTATAACTAAAACTATATATTTATGTTTATGTTTTATATCTGACTGCAAAGTATAACTAAAACTATTTATTTATGTTTATGGTTAAAATGTTATCAAACTTTAGATATTCTCAAGAAACTTTAAAAACTTTTAGTATGCTTAAAGTGTTTGCAAGGGTTCTGGGATTATGTATTAATTTAGATTTTAAAAAGTTTAATATTTAATATAAACTTGTCAATATTAAGTTCGTTGACATATTAAAGAGAATGTGAAATGATAAACTGATAGATTGACAAGTTTTTACTGATCAAATCTGAAATATATTTCCATATTATTCTTTTCGAAAATATTTATAGTTTTTCTGCAAAAGTGATTTCTGCATTATCTTCCACATTTTTGATCAGATTAAGCAGACTCAAGAGTACTGCAGTCATGGATCATGCATTAAGAGGATGGTTGGGGGGGGGGGGGTAAATATGTAAAATAAATTTGTAAATATGTTAGTCTATAGGTTTTTTTTTTCTTATGAACAGATCAAAGACAAACAGCGTTAATTAAAAAAGAATGCGATGTCACTTCTCTTTGTTTTTATTCTATTATTTCATTTTTAATATATCTTTATTATGTTTGTTCTATAAAGGCTTATCTAAAGATATTAAAATGTCAGAAAATTAATCTATTTTATATGAAATAAAAAAATTAGCAATTTCTCAACGACAGATCTTTATTTGGTATTTTATGAGGCCAAATTTTAAAAATTTTCTAAAAGTTTTAAATTTTTTGAACAGTGACATCTATGATTAAAAATTAGATTAATAAATGAGACGAAAATTTTAGTTTAAGTTCATATTTTATTTGCACAAAATTTCTTTTCTTTTTTCCTACTGCTTTCCTATTACCCTAGGCAATTCCCTTATTCTAATCAAAATAATTCCATCAACAATGCACTGTTAGAAGAAAAATAAAATAGGGAAGACATTGTTTTTAAAAATTATTTGGATACTTTAGAGATAGCCTTCTGATAACACCGTTATTGAACATGTGTACTTTTTTAAACGATCGATGTTTCTCTTGAAAACGATCGTTTTTAAAATGATCGTTTTTAATTTTCAAACATTTAATTAAATTCGTTGTTTTTCATTTTAAAATCAATCATTTAGTTTGATATATTTTTCATCGTTAAAAAGACTATCAAAGTCGTTTTTCAAAAAAGCAAAAACAGTATCTTAACATCATTTGCTTTTTATACTGAACAACTGAACAACAATCATAATGCTAAAGATATATTAAACAATTGTATCCGGACAGACATATATCATTTGTTAGACAATTGTTTGATTAGAATTATCGCAAAATCAAAAAAATGTTTTCATATTCTAACAAACTAATAGTAAACTCGAATTTTAATATAATTCTGTCTTTCATTGTGGGTAACATATTATCATACTAATTTGGGAACCCAGCTTGGTCTGGAAAATAACTTTTCATATAAACTTCAGCTAGTATAATTTAGAATTTTTAACCAGGCTAATCACATTCCTGTGGTTCTACCGAGTTTTCCAATCAAAATGGCAAGTCGGTCAAGGATTCCTTAGTTATGATCTGACATGCAAACAAACAGACAAACTGAGATTACTACTCTATAAATATAGGTAATGTTTATAAAGATCTCTACTTACCAATGATAGAACCACACAGACCAGAACTAGTAAACAGGCTCTTATGCTGGCAATCAGGAGAAGCACTGTTAAAAACACACAGAGGAGAGAGATTCCCATGTTCTGATACAATTCATATCCAATAACCTGAACACGAACAACATATGAGATATTTAAAAAGTTTATCTGCATTTAAGAAATGCAAAGGTAGAGCTAAAATGAATTTGAACCGCGTCGCTAAACCGCCAACCACTGGTTCAAATTGCGCGCTGGCTTAAATCTCGAAAAATATCAAGTTGAACCAACAATGTTTGAATCGCGTCTCAAGCTCATTATTTCCTAGCCTATAGATACTCCAATCTCTCATTGGGCAAATTAATATAATTCAACTTTTAAAATTATCTTATGAAACTTTGAATTTATCAGTTTTGTTCTTCTAACATAAACTTCACTAGAAGTCTCTGTTACATTGTTCAAAGCAACCTTGATTTTATCCAACTAACCCATTGACACCCTAGTAACAGGGTTAACCACAGAGGATGAGACTGTAAAGACGACCTAAAACTCTTAAAATACGACTATCCTAAGTTTTACTCTTCAGTCTTTAATTTAGTATTTTAATAGCTTATTAAATGGTTTGGCAAAGAAAGAAATAAATGTACAGTTGTAGGGAATCATTAATATATTGAAACAAACAGTATATATTCCGTACAGTCGTCTTTAAAGTCTCATCCTTTGTGGGTAACCCTGTATGTACAATGTACATAGTACATTTAAGAACTAGAAAACATTTTTTCTTAATATTTGGAAGAGAGCTTGCAATCATTTTATCATTGTTATATAGGGTATTAAAAACCAATAACTGGATGTTTTGTAAGCAACATTGGTCTTTGGAACCCTTGGAAGAGTAAACTTTCCTTAACTTCCCTGTCAAGTAATTGTAAATAAATACCTCATCAGTTTCCCAGCTAGCGTACTCTGTCCCTGTTGGGAAAGCTCTAGAACTAAAATTTGCTTCCCGAACCAATTCTTTTATTCGGTTCATGGCCGGGATCCATTCCTAAATCAATCAGTCGATCAATGAATCAATCATTCAATAATTGAGTCGATCAATAAATCAATCATTTGAAAATCGAGTCGATCAATTAATCAATCATTCAATAATCCGGTCGATCAATAAATCAATAATTCAATAATCCAGTCGATAAATAAATCAATCATTCAAAAGTTGAGTCGATCAATGAATCAATCATTCAATTATCCAGTCGATCAATAAATCAATCATTCAATAATCCAGTCGATAAATAAATCAATCATTAAGTAATCGAGTCGATCAATTAATCAATCATTCAATAATCGAATAGATCGAAAATTCAATCTAGCCAATAAGGAAATCTTTCATTTAATTAACAGTTCATTTCATAAATAATCTTATCAATTAATACACTTCAGAAATCATTCAATAATTCATTACTTCATCAAACATTAATGAATCAATTCATCATTCAGTTGATCAATCAATTACTCAATCAGTTGATAAATCAATTCATCAATCAGTTGATCACTTAATTTTCATTCAATTGAAAAATCAATTCATCATTAAGTTGATAAAAAAAATAATCTATCAATCATTCATCTCGATTTTTCTCTCAATTAAACAACAATTAATCAAAAATAAAAATAACTTACTGAAGGCGAGGTGAACAGCCTGTGTGTCAGTTCTATTGAGGAAAGCTAAAAAAGATTAAAATAAACATTTTTTCTTTAATTTTATCTTATTATATTAAAGAACCATATGAGATGAGATAAGTTATATAAGATGAAATGTTATATCAAAATAAAATTTTGTTAAGCTGCAGATTAATTTGTCGTTTATCTAATATCCAAAGAAAACATTTTAAATTCAAACAATCTCAATCCCGGAAATTTCGCCCGCAATCAATGAGAGAAATCTCATTGGTCGGAACCCAGCAGGAATATCCAAAAGAGATGATTAAACAGAAAATCAAAACTGTTCATAGTGGATATCGAGAATAAGCGAACGAGATTTAGAATATCCAACACAAGAGTTTTTTAATCTTTATATCTTTGCAGCCTGATTTAATCAATAGTTCTTTGAAAATATCAAGTGCAGTGTACGTTTTTTAATATTAAAAGTTTACATCAAAAGGTTGCAAATATTTAAGGATACAAAAAAGATAAAAAGAAAAATAGATGGGTCAAAAACAATGAACTCAAACTGAAAAATATCCGATATCTACCTTCTAAACGATGTATTTATGATAGTATAACTTAATGAAATTTTTATTCAACAAATTGTTATTCTTCTGTTTCTAGGAATAAATAATATATAAGATGTTGTTCCCTAGAACACTTTAATTCTTTTTCTCCAGATAAACAACATTAAAAATGTATTTATTTGGAGAGAGTTTTGAAAATGTATTTATTTTATTAATTATAGAAGAAGATTAGAATTTTTTGGCCGTTTAATCAACATTTTAGCCCACCCATTAGTCTCCTACCTTTTCTTTCTTAACAAACTTGGGACAAATATGAAAATAACAATCCGCAAAGAAAGACGACAAAATGATGTATAGAGCTACTTTTTCGAGAAATAGAATTTTTTTCTAACTATGGGCTTCATTGGAAATCCCTTGGTAAAGTAAAGCAACAAACTCAAATGTTCCCATCCCAATGTTAGCCACCTGAGATCGAATTTAAAGAATTTGAGCCGCGGTTTAAATCCCCCAAAACCTGGTTTAAATTAAGCGCCGGTATAAATCTTGAAATATTTAATACAATTTTAAGAGAAACCAACCATATTTAAACCGCGGCTTAAATTTAAACCTCCGCTGAAATTCTTTAAATTCGGCAACTGATGTTGTAAACCTTTTATATTTCAAACTTAGATTATTTGATCTGACAGAATGTATAGTTTGAAATATCCAAGGTTTCCAAGATTGGGTTGCAGAGATATAAGGATTAGAAAATCGGAGTTTGTGGCAAAGACTCAATTCCTTTCATAAAAAACTTAACCCTGCAAAGTATTTAATTGTAAATAATATTCGCTTTTTTACATACTCACCACAAACTTTTAAAAACTTAAATACGTTGATAAATCGAATTAAAATAAAAAATTTAGAAAAATAAGAAATTATAGAAAGATGGAAGAAAAAATACATATCAAACACCTCCTGACCCCGCTAAAATTATTATCTTATTACAGTATCATAAAATTAAAAAATTAAAAATTATATTCACCAAAACTGTGGGTGCTGCCTCGCCACAAATAAGATCGTTTACAAAGTTAAAGCGCCGACGGTAAGGTGCTCCATCAGGACTAAATTAATAATATAGAAAATATTAATTTAACATTCATGATAAACAAGAAGTTCTATAATCTTACAAAATGACCATGAGAAAATGTTAATTTGACTTTCTTCTGATAATACAATAATTTTGATTACTGATTTTCAAAAACGTTTTTTAAAAAATTGGTTTAATAGTTCATAGTATCCTTTAAAAAATGACTCAATTTTTTGTAATTTTCTTTTTTTTTATAAAATTCTACACTCAATTCATTATAAAAGAAGTTAAAAAAACTTCTAAGTTGAGTTTGAGTGGGTCGACTTTTATTTAAGGGGAAACTTTAGTTTCCAGGCCAAGCTGGGTTCCCAAGCTGGGTTCCCAAGCTGGGTTCCCAAGCTGGGTTCCCAAGCTGGGTTCCCAACCTGGGTTCCCAACCTGGGTTCCCAAGCTGGGTTCCCAACCTGGGTTCCCAACCTGGGTTCCCAAGCTGGGTTCCCAAGCTGGGTTACCAAGCTGGGTTCCCAAGTTCTGAGCAAAATGAATGAACCTTTATGTCATTTTCCTGTTAAACAATTTTGTGAATCCCATTAGATATGCAAGATTATTTACCTAAAAAGAAACTGTGTAAGAATTGTGTAGAATTTCTCCCTGTTTTCCTGGAAAAGATTAAACCAATCACTCTCCTCTACCAGATTCTTTCCAACAGCAAACTTTCTAAACTCTGAATAAAAGGATGAATCAAAGGGATATTCAAGGAAAAGGATGAATCAAAGGGATATTCAAGGAAAAGGATGAATCAAAGGGATATTCAAGGAAAAGGATGAATCTACAGCTGACAGGATTCCTGTTTTATTTACTAAACTTACCTAAATACCATGAATCTACAGCTGACAGGATTTCTGTTTTATTTACTAAACTTACCTTAATACCATGAATCTACAGCTGACAGGATTTCTGTTTAACTCACTAAACTTACCTGAATACCATGAATCTACAGCTTACAGGATTCCTGTTTTGTTTACTAAACTTACCTGAATACCATGAATCTACAGCTGTCAGGATTTCTGTCTCATTTACTAAACTTACCTGAATACCATGAATCTACAGCTGACAGGATTCCTGTTTTATCTACTAAACTTACCTAAATACCATGAATCTACAGCTGACAGGATTTCTGTCTCATTTACTAACGCTCCAACTAAATTCTCTAAAATTAAAAAAGTTGAGATTTTTTTTTTATCCAAAGTGTTAAAATCAATTCAAATCAACACATATATTTTTCTGGATTAAACATTATAGCAAATTAAACAATATATAAAAAATAAAAATATAATTAAAATCACTGCAGCAGGGGGGCTCAGATAGCTTAAAATGGTTTTCACAGAGCTCCATGTTGTACTATTAAAATTATATTCTTCGTATTAAAACAAATTAAAGACACAGAAATTACACATAATTACATATACATATATTAAAAGTGCGGTTGTATTTCAGTATTTAGCCATATATGAAAAGATATAAATAGAGTCTAACTAAAAATTAAATTGATAAAAATTTTGTAGTTGTTTCATTACTTGCAAATATCTATTTATTCTTAATAAAAAAAAAAACAATAAGGATAATTTGGTTTCAATTTATATTCTTTTGTAGTACAGCTAGTTGGGTCAGAAAACAATGTAATTCATATTTTCAAATTTTGAATTTTGAGACGTAGCTTTGAATTTGTATTTATTTAAATTTTTAAAAATAATTAATTTACAAATCTCAAAATCCAGACTAGAGCGACAAATAAAAATTTTAATTTTAAACGTCGTTAAACCTTTACTTGTGAGTTGTCATAACAAAGGAAATGAATCTTTGCCACAAAATCTGATTTTCTAATTCCTATATATTTTCAACCCAACGTAGTAGATCTTACATATTTCAAAATATGTATTCTGCTTGGTCAATAAATCTTAGTTTGAAATATCAAAGGTTTACATCTATCAGGTTTGAAAGATATAACGATTAGAAGATTTTATTGTGTGAAAAAGACTCAATTACTTTGGACCCGATGGATTCAGCTGTTTTGACATTTCTTAATACAAACATCCTAACATACACCCAGACACCCAAGCAAAGTATGTGTTTATAAATATATATATATATTGTTGCATTGTTTGTTACCTAGTTTATGCAGTTCGTTATTGTAATCTATATCTCCGATATTAACGATAACTCTCTCCCCTTCCTTTAAAATTAAAAGATCTTATTCATTTTTATTCGATGTAGTAAATGTAGTCGTATATATATATATATATATATATATATATATTTATATATCAATAAAGTAAAGAAGACTACTTTCGATTTCGATTGTGTGATTTCTACCAATCTTTTAAACAGCATAAATACACATAAACGTGTAAACAAAGAGGAGGGGTCAATTTACAGCTTCGTTTTGTTTACTTGACAACTAGTAAGTTAAACAAAGCTTGTTTAAAATCAAAACTGTATTGATTTCAGCGCAAACCATTGTATGTTAAATTTATGTATCAAATATTTCTGACATAAAAGCAAATTTAAAAAATATGTGATCTTTTTAATAGGACAAAGTCTTTTTTTAGACAAAGTTGAAAGAAGATTTTGTTAAAATAACGGCAAAATATAAAAAACTACCTTAGGAAAATATTCTGTATTAGCGTGAAACCATCCTGTATATTTTATTTATAATACCATCAAAAGATAGATAAAAATTACGTCATTCAGATAATCCAATAAACCATTTGCCATAAACAAAGGATAAACTTGTTTAGAAAAATAAGAAAGGAATTGAGTCTTTGCAACAAACTCTGAATTTCCTATCCCTATATATTTAATGCGGTAGACCTTAGATTTTTCAAACTATGAATTCTCTCAGATCAAATAATCTTTGTTTGAAATATCTATGGCTTACACCATCAGATTGCAGATATATACGGTTTAGAAATCCTGAGTTTGCGACAAATACTGAATTCCTTTGGTCGAAATTATATGATTTCTAAAAGTTGGTCACAATGTAATATTCAAAGTATGGTTTAATAGCAATTAAATATCAGAATATCAAATACCAAATGATCAAAAATCTTTAAATGATCAAAAAAATGTACATTAAACAGTTTGGACAACTATTTTTTCAAAAATATCATACAATTTTAGAATAAAGTTAATTTTAAAGTTTAAGGAATTCTCAATTATAATTTTCTGATAAAACCTCTGTAAAATGTAAGCTCTCTCTTTTTTCTTCTTTCTTTTCTATTTTCTTCTCATCTCCTTTCTTTTCTTCTCTTCTCCTTTCTTTTTTTCTCTTCTTTTTTCTTTTCTTCTCTTTTCTTCCTTTTTTCTTCTCTTTTTTATTCTCTTCTCTACTCTTCTGTTCTCTTATCTCTTTTCTTCTCTTCCCTGATCTCTTATCGTCTCCTCATTGTTTTCTCTTTGTTGTTAACATTTTAACCGGTTTTGAGATAAACAATGCAGTACGATCCGTTGTTATGATTTTTCACTGATTTGTTTACATTTTTAGCTTGTACACCTAATTGAAATATACTGCGTTTGTACTCCATTATTAGGCATTTGATCATTTGGCATTTGATGTTTTGATATTTTTGTGGTTTAATATTTAGAATACAGGGTGTCCCACGAAACATGACAGTATGTAAGACGACTTGAATGTCGTCTTGATTTTTGATATAATTTGCTGCGTTTATTAGTCAACCTAATTTTAGAAGTAAATTTCTAGAGATAATAATCACAAAATTCCCCTAGTCCTGCCATTTCCAAAATGTGGTCTGCCTTTTTTGTGCTTTCAATATTGCCCGAGATATGAAGAATTTCGTTCAGATTTCGACAATTTTGCTTTTATTTAACAAAATTGAAATCTAAACCAAACTCTTTATATCTCCGGTAATATTGAAAGCACAAAAAACGCAGACCACTTTTTGGAAATGCCAGGGCTAGGAGAATTATGTGATAATTGTTTCAAGAATCATACATGTTAAAGTAGCTAGAAGACTAAATGTCACAAATAAATTCAAATATCAAAGACGACGTTCAAGTCGTCTTGCTATTGTCATGTTTCGTGGGACACCCTGTATGACCAGAAACACTAGAGTGAAATATTTGCATATAACCATGGGTGCAATCAATAACCTCGAAAATCTGTAGGATTTACATCTGACTTGTATTTAATGAAAAACAATATAATAATTATACAACATGTAAGAAATGTTCGCTTGAAATAGATTTTTTTGAAGGGAATTATTTGAAGAAAAAAAATTTAGTTCTTTCCACAAACTCTGATTTACTACTTCCACATCTATCTTTGCAAACTATGAGTTTTGTTAGATCAAATAGTCAAATTTAAAATATCTAAGGTTTACACAATCAGATTGGAAATATATTGGGATTAGAAAATTTGAGTTCCTTAGAGAAAAGAGAGGGGGGGGGGGATGAAGAATTATAGTCTGCAGGAACAACTACAATAATTCAAGTATTTGTGGTAATATATCCAAGCAAGGTAAGTATATGTTGTATTTATGCCTGCAAGATAAGTATTTATGGTATTATATCCCTACAAGATAAGTATTTATGATATTAAAGCCCTGCAAGATAAGTATTTATGGTATTATATCCCTGCAGGATAAGTATTTCTGGTATTATATCCCTGCAAGATAAGTATTTATGGTATTATATCCCTGCAAGATAAGTATTTATGATATTAAAGCCTGCAAGATAAGTAGTTATGGTATTGTATCCCTGTAAGATAAGTATTTATGGTATGAAATCCCTGCAAGATAAGTATTTATGATATTAAAGCCCTGCAAGATAAGTATTTATTGTATTATATCCCTGCAAGATAAGTATTTTTTGATATTATATCCCTGCAAGATAAGTGTTTATGGTATTATATCCCTGCAAGATAAGTATTTATGATATTAAAGCCCTGCAATATTAGTATTTATGGTATGAAATCCCTGCAAGATAAGTATTTATGTTATTAAAGCCCTGCAAGATAAGTATTTATGGTATTATATCCCTGCAAGATAAGTATTTATGATATTATATCCCTGCAAGATAAGTATTTATCGTATTATATCCCTGCAAGATAAGTATTTATGACATTAAAGCCCTGCAAGATAAGTATTTATGATATTATAGCCCTGCAATATTAGTATTTATGGTATTGTATCCCTGCAAGATAAGTATTTATGATATTTTATCCCTGCAGGATAAGTATTTATGGTATTATATCCCTGCAAGATAAGTATTTATGGTATTATATCCCTGCAAGATAAGTATTTATGGTATTATATCCCTGCAAGATAAGACTCTGGTGGAATAAATTTGATCGGATTGAACTCTTGCTTTAGCTCAGACAAGCCGTAGATACCGAACTAAAAGAAAAAACAATTAATTAATCAATAAATTAAAAATATCTTAAAAAAATCACATTGAAAATAGGCATTCATTCCATGTACATTCAAGAAAGTTTGATACATGTTTACATTTATCGGATTCTATATAACATTACATTACAAGAATTATTTTTGCTAGCATAGTTCTTTTTATACACTCAGGATCACGCCAAAGTTACTGGAAAAAAGGACATTATTCATCATTATTTAGGGTTGGATTAATCCTTCTTTCGAGTTGCTGCCTAAAAACAAAACCGTATGAGTGTTGCGACTAGAATAGGCTTGGGGACCGAGCGCTGGTACCAGGGTTATAGGCCATGGGACTTAGAGCTGGTTTTTAAAATAGGTGAAAAAAATGGTTAAGCAATGTGCTTATAAATAAAGAATAACACAATGTAAAGAAAACATAATCTTCGGTACTCTCAAAGTTGCAGAAAATGACACAGGATAACATTTCGTAATTCCAAAGCAAAAAAACAAGCAAAATTTTGAAAGTGAAAAGATAAAAACACTTACCCCTCCCAGAACAGCTGTTGCTATGAGAACAAAGGCTTGAACAAAAGGATTTGAAAGAACCCAACCAAGCTTCTCAAACAACTCACGTCCAAATTCACGCTGGCTGAACAAAGAATTTGAATGAATTATGCAGACTTATATTTGTTTTTTCAAAATATTCTTGAACTAAAAATAAAATCTTCACATTTCGTTTGTTAACTCTATTATGTAATTAAAAATCCCGAATATTTTGTTAGAACTAAGAACAGAATTTTAACGATATCTAAGAAATCTTTATATCCTAATATTCGCGCTGTTGATTAGGATTTTTAAACAGTGGTTAGAGGTCTGGGGTTTTAAAAATCAATATAAAAATAAAATGCGAGTTTTCCGTAAGTTTTGCTTTCTCATAAATTTTTACATACCTTATTTTATTTGGTGTCCAATCTTTGTGTACGATAAGGGGACACATTCCGTTTCTCTTCGCTCTTATTCTCCTTTAAACAAATTTTTATAAAATTTGAAATTGAATTCCTTTTCTATAGTTGAAAACAGTCCCTTTAATTATTATTTATTTTTTACCTTTCATCTATAGAAAGAAAAGCTACGAAAATAGTTGCAGTGTAGAAATATACAGACGCAATCCCGACCTAAAGTAAAACTATCAAAGGGACTGTAAGCGTAATTTAAAATAACCCCTAATGCGAAGATGGCAACGCCTGATCTTCAACAGCATCCTTTGATTAAAGCTTTGTCTGATCAAGTATAAGTAAGGTGTCAATGTTTATCATTTTGAATTGCCATCTTCGCATTACGCTTACAGTCCCTTTAACAGTCCATATACAATCATAAACAGCAAACAAAGTTTAAAGTTTGAAAAATCAAATCAAAAATCTATTCCTCGTTCTTTAAATCTATCAGCTGTACATCACGATTGCCTACATATAGCAAAGTGATCAAAAGGTTGCACTAGCTTTATCGGAAATATCGATAAGAAATTTCCCCACTATATTTCCTTAAAAAAGCTAAAAACATGGTATTAAAAGTACTAAAATGTAAACATCTATAGGGCTACATAGTGTTTCGACGCTTTAACGACGACCTTGTCTTGAACATTGTTTTAAAGGGTTTGGATCTCTGTATGATTGTATTTGTAAACTTATGCTTGTCTTTTGATATATATACATTATTCCTTATTATTATTGAACCTACCGCACAAAATAGACAGAAGGATTTTAAAGCTGGTAACACCTAAACAAATTTTTTGCTTTTGAAATATTTAAAAATTATTAAAAACAATGTTGTTTAATACTTACTGTTATAGCTCCAATAGCGAACGCGATTAAATCAGTAAATGAAGTAATCGTAATCGCGACGCCTCCTAATTTCATTGTTTCCGCGATTTTCCTCTCAATACTCCAAAGCGCTGTGCCTCCTGAACAGGTAGCAATGAAAAGGTAAAAAAGAAAACCAAAAAACTATAATTGATATTTACCTTTCGCATCTAGATTATCCAAACTCTGCATGATCACAAACATATCGTCCACACCTTTATTTAAAGAATAAATTTATTTGTATACAGGGTTACCCTAGAAAGATGACGACTGTACAACATATTTATTAGCTATTTCTCTCTGGAAACCCCCTTTTCGATTTCAGAAAAAAACTGACTCAATTCTTTAAAGGAAGAATACGAGAAGATGATGAAAATGAAAATGAATAGTGTACAAATTATTTTGGAAATGTAAAAAAAAAACTTTGGAGCAGCATTGTTCCTTGTACGTGTATATACGTGTATGTACGTGTATGTACGTGTATGTACGTGTATGTACGTGTATGTACGTTTATGTACGTGTATGCACGTGTATGTAGGTGTATGCACGTTTATGTACGTGTATGCACGTGTATGTACGTGTATGCACGTGTATGCACGTGTATTTACGTGTATGTACGTGTATGTACGTGTATGTACGTGTATGCACGTGTATGTACGTGTATGCACGCGTATTTACGTGTATGTACGTGTATGTACGTGTATGTACGTGTATGTACGTGTATGTACGTGTATGCACGTGTATACACGTGTATTTACGTGTATGTACGTGTATGTACGTGTATGCACGTGTATGTACGTGTATGCACGCGTATTTACGTGTATGTACGTGTATGTACGTGTATGTACGTGTATGTACGTGTATGTACGTGTATGCACGTGTATACACGTGTATTTACGTGTATGTACGTGTATGTACGTCAATGTACGTGTATGTACGTGTATGTATGTTTATGTACGTGTATATACGTGTATGTACATTGTACGTGTATGCACGTGTATGTATGTGTTTGTACGTGTATGCATGTGTTTTTAAAATACACATTATAGTAACCTAACAGTAAGACAGGCTTAGTTGGAATCCAAATACAAAAATATTGAATTTTTTAACTTAAAAAAATGAAGGATCCTTTAAACACTACTTACCTAATCCCATAATTAGAAAAGGTATAACAGAATGTAGAGGGGAGAAAACTAATCCGATTCCTAAAACAGTGAAAATATAAAATCATTCCAGTAGCAATCAGAAAACAATAATATGATTGTCGTCTCCTTTCCTTTCTGCTTTAAATTATGTTTTTAAGGGTTATGTTATTTTCAACTGTATGTGTCCTGAGCTGGGAACTTTTGAATGGTGGATATTAATGCTTAATCCACTCTTTTATCAGATTAAATAATGCTTGTTTTCCTCTTGTTATTAATCTCCAGATTAATTAACCGATCGGGATTAAGGATATCCTATTCTAAAGTTTTCAGCTCTGTGCTGGGAACTTTTAATAATCCCGATCCCTTGATCTAAATATCGACTGTGGGCACTTTTAATTAGAAGATCAATTCTGCAGATTATCGAAAGATTGAGATCAATCATTGATCTCAATATCCACAGGACCACAATACAAGAGTTCCCAGCTCAGAGATGAGAACTGATTCATTTTCTTCTAGTCAGGGTAAAGTAGACAAAGATGGGACACCCTGAACAAACAAGAGAGAGAAGCATTCGGTTTCTTTTATTTGAAATCAATCGTGCTTTCGTCTATAACTCAACAGTCTTTAGACTTAAAGATTTGTTTATATTTTTCATTCAAAATGTATATGCCAACAAAAAAATATTTAAAATAAAAGGCTATAAAATTATGTGAAAGGGGTCAAATTGTGATCGAAAGTCACAGTTTTCTGAAATATTGACAGAACCGTTAAATCCACGTGGGGAAGGTAAAATTTATGCGACTGGTTCGACTTTTTGACCTCGTAGCTCCTCTAGATTTACATTTAAGCAAAAGTAATATGAAAAGAAGATTATCCGGTTCCATCTTGGAAACTTAAAATATTTAGTTTGCACTTCAATAAGAGGTTAATAACCCGGTAAAAACTGAAACTATTATGATTTTATTATTACGTGCAGTTAACGTCAGTTTGACGTGCATCTGGATGTTATATTTTATTGTGACACACTGTACATTATAAATGTGCCCACAAGTGATTACTAATTTTTAAAAATGGTGCCCACGATGAGCGCGGTAACTTTTCCCATTGCACTACAAACAATGTAGATAATTCCTGAACATTTTAAAGTTATAAAAAGTGCTAATGAAAGTAAAAATAAACATCGATTTCTTCGTTTTTAATCAGATAACCATGATCCGTTGAAATTTAAAAAAAAATTAAAAATAAATAGGTTAGGGAAAAAACAGTCCAAAATGCATGTTTTTTAGCGGTTTTAATTTCTTTTTAATTTCAACGGATTTCATCTTTCTGGAGAATTACGAAGAAATTATATATGTGACATGATATATTCAAGAAAACAATATTTTGGAACTGTGTAGATCATTTTCCAACTTTAGCAGCGATAATATCCAAGAGTTTTAGAGATATTGAGCTAAAAATTTAGAAATGTTGAGCTAAAAATTTAGAGATATTGAGACAAACAATTAGAGATATTGAGCTGAAAATTTAGAAATATTGAGCTAAAAATTTAGAGATATTGAGACAAACATTTAGAGATATTGAGCTAAAAATTTAGAGATATTGAGCTAAAAATTTAGAAATATTGAGCTAAAAATTTAGAAATATTGAGTTAAAAATTTAGAATATTGAGCTAAAAATTTAGAAATATTGAGCTAAAAATTTTGAGATATTGAGCTAAACATTTAGAGATATTGAGCTAAAAATTTAGAGATATTGAGCTAAAAATTTAGAGATATTGAGCTAAAAAATTAAAGATATCATGCTAAAATACAGAGATATTGAGCTAAAAATTTAGAGATATTGAAAATGGGATAAGCTACCGCGCACATATATTTTCAAAAGTTGGTCATCCTTGGACACCTTACTACTGTACATTTTATATTGTACATTCACTGTACAATTACTGTACATTTACTGTGCATTTACTGTACATTTACTGTACATTTACTGTACATTTACTATACATTTACCTGAACAAAATCCGTAGGAAGTAAGAATGGCAAGACCGTAGCAGCCTAGACCAACACTAGAGAGTCCAGGCTAAAAATAAGACAAGGTGAAACTAAACCGATCTTATTTTAATTTTGTAGTAAGTATAACAATAACCAGAAAACTGTGGAAAATGAGGGAGGTCCTTAGTAATAATAATTACCCTTGTTTGAACAAAGTTGAATTTTCCCAGCATAATTTGAACATAAACAAAAACTGTTGATGTTCCAATACCAAAGAGCAGAGCATCTCCGTATATTGCCCCTGCAGACAAATCACTGAAACTGAAAAAAAATCTTTGTTGAGACCTTTTCTTTTGAGAAAGTTCATTCCGATTTTGTTTAAGACGATATTTTCAATCAATTAACCGTTTTCCTCAACTTTTCAGTCGAGCGCGACTGTTCGACAATACCTTGCATCAATCATATTTTTGTAAACTCTATTAATTTACTTGACGATTCTACTTTTCAGCATAAATATATTTTCAGCATGTAAAATAAGAAGCTATTGAATCTAAATGTTAGTATTGAACCTAACCTCATTTTTTGCAACCCTCCTTTCAGGCGAGTATTCAACTTCTGCATGTTTTCCATTAGATTGATAAAATTGTAAAGAAGTTTTTTACTTACCTTTTTGCAACATTGAACACCAGACTACTGTCCCCATCAGCTAACTGAAACAAATATTATTATTGTAACAACATAGAAGTAAATAGTTTGATTAACCCTAGAACGGTAAAAAACAAAAGAAAGTATTTTTTTTACTAAAAGCGCTGGAATATTAAGACTTACAAATGAAAAAAAATCAGAAAACTTTTGAACTATAGCGTTGCATAATACTATAGAAAAAATAATGGGTTTCTTTTCATTTTACCCTTTTTTATTTTATTTTTGCAAATGATTACGCAGTTTTGAGGTGTTTGTAAAAATGAAGGAATTGTTATAAGGGTGTTGATTTTTACCAATATTTAGGATTGAATATTTCTATTTCTAAATTCTTCATTCTACTAAATTTTTACTTTAAATTTAAAATATAAATCTAGGTGTCTTTTAATATCTGATTTTTGTACAGATTATTAAAATCGATTTGATTATATTGCTGCATTGTTTGAATCTATATATAAATTTGGCTTGTCTGTTTGCTCTTATTTGCCCACGGGCTATCAGGACATTTTCGCATTCAGCGTAGGGTTACCAGGACCTCTCCGGCTATCAGGACCGGCTGATATAATCAAAAAATAATAAGTTTCTGGTTTTGTCAGAAAGTCAGGAAAGTAATGAAACTATATTATAGAAATAATATTTCTCGGATCCGGAACTAATAATATTATACAACTAAGATACAAAACATATATATACAGAAAAATGATGAATAATTTTTTTCCGTATCTTAAAAAGTATAAAATTCTTACAACTTCCTACATTGTGCCTGCAGCATGTATTCGTAAATTACTTTCACAAAGAAACCACATTGGAAAATGATTATTTTCAGATTTTTATTGACCAGACAAATTTTTTCTTCTCTTTTTCAAAGATAACCAAAGGGCGTGCACAGGGGGGGGGAAAGGGGCAGTGCCGCCTTAAACCTGTAAAGGGGGATAGAGCTATGACACTTTTCAAATCTGAAACTGATTAGTGAAGAGCATAAAAAATTAGTTTGCTGTTTTTTATGATAGTTTTGTTTGAAGGAGAGATAAAGCAGTATTTTTAAGGTAATTGGGCTGAATTTGTACCTTTAAAGTATCCAAGAAGCCAAATGCTTTGAATTTACAGTTCAAATTTTACCCCCTCCCCCTAGGAGCCCCCCCCCCTTAATTTTTATTTCTGTGTTCGCCCTTGCCTTCACCCTAATAGTTAAAAAAATGTAGTGAAAAAAAATTGCTAAGGGGTTCCGTCCTGAGGTTCCCTATAAGTTATATATTGTAATCGTTTAACTGATGTCATTCACATAACTGTTTAGTTTTGAGTGTCAATTATGATGAATGAATCGTAATCGTTCAAGACGACAAACATGGTGTTTGAGTGAAAAAAGGTAATTTAAGTAAAGGGGAGTGAAATATGTTTTATATTAGCATGTGGTAGGTTGTAGTGTTTCCACGAAATGACCATAATCCCAAGAACTACCTTACCTTTAACAACACGTCTATTATTACATCCTCACAAGCCAGGTATTTCCATTCAAAAGACTACTCTACCTTTGACAAATTTTTATTTTGCAACATCCCAAGAACTTCCTTACCTTTGATAAAACGTCTATTATTGCATCCTCCCAAGCCAGGGTATTTCCATCTACAGGACTACCTTTAGTAACTGCAACATCCTCACTGTCACTAAATACAAGGTGTTACAATTAATGTAGGAACAAGATAATTGATCGTCTTCGTTTATGATTTTTGAATTCTAGAAAGGCGGATAAAGCTTGATAGTTTTATTTTAAAACTTTTTCACAATGAAAACAATTTTTCAAAAATAGTATATACTCTATGAAAAAACCTTAATGCTATACTTAAAAAGTATGTGTATGTAATATCTATCTATATTATTGATGAATCTTCAGGTTTTGTTATTAATGTTCTAAAAAAAGTTGCAATAAAAATCAAAAAATAAGATAGAATGAAAAAGAAACTGATCACTGGCCTAAAATTTTATATTTGCCTCAAATCTTTGCAACCTGATGTCATTTTTGGTAATATACCTCGAATAACTCAAAGCTTTGACTATTTGGATTTTATAGTCGAATTCATAGTTCTAGTTAGAGAAATATTAAACTTTGACAATAACTGGTTGCAAAAATATCAAGGAAGGAAAATTATAATTTAACGGGATTGTTCAGTTTCCTTTAGGTTGAAAAACTGGTTTAAAAAGATATTTTGTTAACAATAAATTAAGTTTTATTCAATTTTATTTTAATCTAAAATAATTAAAATTAGTATATTTACGTGAGGGCAGTTGTATTTACTTGTCCAAAGAATCTCAAGAACATTGCCCGAGCACCTTAAAGTAAACACACAAAATAGAATAATGTAATAAAGTTTTTGCGGTGTACTCCAGAAAACTGTGGAATAGAAACACGAGATTAAATAAATAATTTTAGCTGTACATATTTCATGCTGTGACGAAGCATATAGTTTAACAAGTATAACTTTAATATGAATTGTAAGGTGAAATGGTATGTGCACTCAATGTGTGTCAATTGTACACTCAACTATTTTCAAATTATATTTAGAGTTTAAAAGTTGTATTTAAGTATTCATCATCGAGTTCTTATTTATATCGAACAAAACATGTTTATATAGTTCTTTCTTTTAAAACATTTGTATTTTATTTGTTTATCTTAAATTTAAAAAAAATTCACAAATTAAAAAAGATCCATAAACAAATGTCTCATCCTGATTTGTGATGCATAACCCAACTAAAAACCAGGTAGATTCATGATGCTCTTGAAGAAAATAAAAAAAAAATGTAGATTTATAAATCAAAGTCTAATCTAATTATTCGTTGAAAAAAATGCAGAAATGTTTTACGGAGTATCATTAATCTTAAAAGCTTGATCTGGATATCCGATGCGGAGACTTGTAAATTTGAAAATAAACACTTGATCCCTACACATTAAAGCAGTGTTTGACTACCACAGGATATGGAAGATGAATAGTCGAAAGGCTGGTCTGCCAAAGATGGGGATACAAACTAGATCCCAAGATACTTTTTGGTTTAAATTTTATTCTTATAATTGTTTACCTATAATGTGCCCTGAGGAGTTTCTTGAAATATCTCCAAGATATTTAGAAAAATCCTGATCAAATCCAAACATTTTTTAAAGGTTTATATCTATATATAAATTTGGCTTGTTTGTCTGTCTGTTTGTTTGTCTGTATCCGCAAATTTTTTTTCATCTTTGTTTTGAAATGTAAACAAAAAGAACATGTTCACAATTAAAATAGAAGATGGGCGCGAAGCGCCCTAAAAGCCTAGAAAGAAGGGCGCAAAGCGCCTTGAATTTCTAGTTGTATCATATTTACTTAGACACAAGCTAACTGCAATTTAAAATTTTCAGAAAAAAGAAACATAAATATGGAAAGTTCAAAGGATAATGAATTTCTGCCACAAACTCTAATTTTTCAATCCCTATATCTTTGCAACCCGATTCCGTATACCTTTCATATTTCAAACTGCGAATTCTGTTAGACCAAAAATCAAAGGTTTGCAATATTACGTTGTAAGATATGGGGATAAGAGAATTTGATTTTTTGGCAACAACTCAGTCCCATTCAAGCAAAAATATTTTACAAAACTTGAAAATCTTTGGTTTTCCTGAGCTCTGTCATAAACTGGTGATGTCGTCACTGTATTAATGGCTCTTAAAATGTCTGAAAAAATCAGTTCAGTATCAGTATCAGTATTATTAGTTTCAGCAGTAGTATCAGTATTAGTTATCAGTATCAGTATCAGTATCAGTATCAGCATCCGTATTTATATCAGTATCAGTATCAGTATCAGTATCAGTATCAGTATCAGTATCAGTATCAGTATCAGTATCAGTATCAGTATCAGTATCAGTATCAATTACCTTCTTGTGTAAGTGCGTAGATGATATCTTTTGTCTCTTGTGTGTAACCAGCCTTTCCCCAAAGTTCTGAAATTTCATAAATAAATGATAAATCTATAAAATAAAGATATTCGCTCACATAAATCTATATTCATATGTTTGTAGATATATTTATATATGTTAGTTTTAGCTGGCCCGAAGGTTAGACCAAACTTGCTGAATTTTTTTGAGGGAATCCATGGGTTCCCTGGGGTATAATCGATTTTTTTTCTAAATTTAATTTATTCTCTAAAATGAATTTTTTAACAAATTTCATGGGCAACGCCGGAGACTTCAGCTAGTGTTAAATAAATGTCATGTCTCTTGGTGATGGTGCTACTGTAGGTTACGGTTTTCAAGAATAAAGAATAAAAATGCATCATAGACAAACCGAGTGAAATTCTGACCTTTCTCTTCATTGGTTTAAACGCATAAATCTGAAAGTTACTTTGAGGAGAAACCACAATTAAATAATCAATCAATAAAAAATATAAATATCTCACTAATCCTTGGCCAGAAAAAAGGTTTCAGGGTACCATTGTGAATCGTATAGAAAACTGGTTTCAGGGTACTCATGTGAATATTATAGAAAACTGGTTTCAGGGTACCATTGTGAATCGTATAGAAAACTGGTTTCAGGGTACCATTGTGAATCGTATAGAAAACTGGTGTCAGGGTACCATTGTAAATCTTATAGAAAACTGGTTTCAGGGTACCATTGTGAATCGTATAGAAAACTGGTTTCAGGGTACAATTTTGAATCGTATAGAAAACTGGTTTTAGGGTACCATTGTGAATCTTATAGAAAACTGGTTTCAGGGTACCATTTTGAATCGTATAGAAAACTGGTTTCAGGGTACCATTGTGAATCTTATAGAAAACTGGTTTCAGGGTACCACTGTGAATCTTATAGAAAACTGGTTTCAGAGTACCATTGTGAATCGTATAGAAAACTGGTTTCAGGGTACCATTGTGAATCGTATAGAAAACTGGTTTCAGGGTACCCATGTGAATCTTATAGAAAACTGGTTTCAGGGTACCATTGTGAATCGTTTAGAAAACTGGTTTCAGGGTACCATTGTGAATCGTATAGAAAACTGGTTTCAGGGTACCATTGTGAATCGTATAGAAAACTGGTTTCAGGGTACCATTGTGAATCGTATAGAAAATGGGTGTTCAGGGTACCATTGTAAATCTGAAAGAAAACTGGTTTCAGGGTACCATTGTGAATCTTATAGAAAACTGGTTTCAGGGTACCATTGTGAATCGTATAGAAAACTGGTTTCAGGGTACCATTTTGAATCGTTTAGAAAACTGGTTTCAAGGTATCACTATGAATCGTTTAGAAAACCCTTGAAGTTCCAGCAAAAATGCTTAGAATATTAATGAAACTAACCTAATAGACTATTTTCTAGACAAATAGATGTTGTTAAATCTTCGATCAAAGGACAGTAATCTTCAGGGTATAGGTCGATGGCGGGGTCAAATTCTGAAAGAAATACAATTCTTAACAGATTAAAACTAGTTTCCTTTTCTTTTTCAATTTATACATGTATAGCATTACACTTTTAAAAGATTGAAATGTCACCTGACGCACGCTTTATACGATTTTCTGAATTGTTTGATGAAATGAGCGTAGAATTGTCAATGACAGAGATTTGGGTTGTTATATCAAACATACTGTCCGCTGTCGTTTCAGAGCCGCCATCTTGTATTTGCTCCGTAGTTTCGGGGATTTCTTCAACGTCGTCTTCGTAATCTTCATATTCGTATAGGCTGTCGTTTAGCAAATCTTGTATGGGTTCAAGATCCACCATTGGCACCCTAAAAACACATTAAATTTTGTTGACCCTTTTCTTTACATAAAACGTTTTCGTTCGTTCGTATATACATATTCAGTGGGAAACTCTGTTATTCATATTTAGTGGGACACCCTGTATATTCATATATAGCGGGACACCTGTATATACAAATTCAGTGGAACACCCTGTATATTCAAATTCAGTGGAACAGCCTGTTATTCATGATCAGTGGGCCACCCTGTTTATCATGTTCAGTGGGACACCCTGTATATTCATATTCAGTACGAGACACCCTGTATTTTCATATCCAATGGAACACCCTGTATATACATATTCAGTGGGACACCCTGTATATACATATTCAGTGGGACACCCTGTATGTACATATTCAGTGGGACACCCTGTATATACATATTCAGTGGGACACCCTGTATATACATATTCAGTGGGACACCCTGTATATACATATTCAGTGGGACACCCTGCATGTATTAACCTGTAACAAATATCAGACCATCTTTCCCCCTTGGAACTTGTTACGTTGACCATTGCTTCATGCACCTCGTACAACTGCAATAATAAAATATAAATCAATAAATATTCGGGGTTTTTTTAGACTTTTTCAGATCACATTATTTTGAACTAGAAAGTGTATTTAATATAAAAATTTCTTTATTTTTTATCTAAAATTTAAAATATTGTTCAGTTTTATACCTTTCGAATGTATTCTGGTGTAAGCACATTGTCCCCTGGAAAAAAAATTAGTGCACGAGATTAAAATAAATATTTTCAAAATCAAAATTGTTTATCTAAAAATGTTCCAACCTGTCAATATGACGGAATGAAACCGTATATCGTCCGGAAAATTTTGCCACAGCCACTCATGATTTCGGATATAATCGGAATCCTGAATGAATATCTAGTTTTGATTCCGGATTTCAAGAGAATCCTAATTTCCAAAACTTAATTTTGGATTTGACGAAGTTCAAACTTATTGTGATGATAATAACTATAAGTAGCCTGGATGATGATACAGTGAAACCCTTAATAACGAATACATCGAAAGAATTCATCAAATGTCGTATTCTTCACTTTATGATAATGAATATTGCAGATATTTAGTTGTTTAATTAAATGATTATATGGAACTCTTTGTTCCCGCATATTCATGGCTATTTATTTATTTTTGCAAATACTGAAATTTACGTAATTATACAGTATAAAACTCATTGAAAAATTGTCAAGACGACATTTAATAAATTCTTCCGATGTATTCGTTATTAAGGGTTTCACTGTACTGATATGATAATAATGATGTTGATGATAATAAAAATGATGATAATGATAATCCAAATGATGATAACGATGATGATAATGAAAACGATGATAATTATAATGATGACAATGATAATAATGAAAATGTTTGTAATGATAATGCATATTATGATAATAATAATGACATAGAAATATATATATTTATAAGAAGTAAAAAAAACACCTGAGGAATCCATAATTTATATGGATTATTTTCCTGTTCTAGCCGCAGCAACCCAATAGCGCACAAACCAGGAATTACTATGATAGCACAGATTTTGAAAAACACAATAACAGGAATGATGCTAATGATCATTTTGCAAATGTGTGTCCTTTAAAAAGTGTTTTAATCTGCTTAATAAATTAGTACAAACCAACTTGAAAAAGAAATGAAACAATCTAGCTGTCATTAATTATGAAAAAGGTTTACACACAAATGTTATGATTAATATCCAGTATCTGTAACTTATGAATTCTTATTTAAATAAAATGGTAAATTTTTAAACTTACCTAATGTCAAGCAAATACTTCTGATTGGATATCTGGCTAAAATTGATCCATACCTAAACAAACCTGATTCTAACAGAGTAGACGCTATTGCAAGTGATTCTCCATTTATAAGTGGCATTTTGATTCATACAAGTGCCCCTTAAAGTGGTTCTTCGATTTATACAAATGCCCCTAAAACTGGTTCTTTAATTTATACAAGTGCCCCTAAAAGTGGTTCTTCGATTCATACAAATGCCCCTAAAAGTGGCTCATCGATTCATACAAGTGCCCCTTAAAGTGGTTCTTCGATTTATACAAGTGCCCCTAAATGCACCTAAAAGCTTTCTAAAAATTTACTTAGAAACGATGGAGAAAAAGCCAAAAAAAACGAGATATCTTCCAAATCCTAAACGGTACCCTTATGAATAGGGCATGGCCCCTTTTTTTAATGAAATGTACCATGCCCCTTTAGACAATCTGCTTTTAACTTTAAATTAAAATATAATTATAAGTTACCAGTAAAAAAATAGTTCCATAGAGTGAACGATGGTTTCACTAATTAACTCAAAGGAAAAATTCTCAAACCACATTTTTTTCCTTTTTTTTACAATGGTCTTTGGATCCCTTTTATCACTCATTATTTTTATCACAGATTAGTTTTGGCGCCAAGTTATTAATTCACTAAAATGTTCTTGTAAAGTAAATACTATGTCATTTTCAGCGTGTCTTCCCTTCTATCTCAAAATACAGATCTGAAATAGAAAAGTATTTTATCATTAAATAAATATTTTCTAAACAAATATAAATGTTTACTAAAAGGTTTAAAGGATGAAAAACTTATGTCTAGCAATGTCGGAGAAGGTCAAAATTATGCAACTTAAATATTACGACTTTGTGTCCTCACTGATCTCCTCTATCTGTGATTTCACGCCTAAATCTATTCAGTTTCATATTGGTAAAAAAAAAGTATAAAATTGAACCATCTCGTTTAACCTCAAAAGGAATTGAATCTTTGCCACAAACTCTGATTTTCTAATCACTATATCTTTAGAACCAAATGTTACAGACCTTAGATATTTCAAACTATGAATTCTGTTAGATCAAATAATCAGAGTTTGAAATATCAAAGGTTTACAACATCCGGTTCTAAAGATATTGAGGTTTAAATATTTAATTTTGTTCCAAAGACTCAATTCCTTTGTATTTAGATTCTAAAACCCAAACTTTCCATGGATAAGTGAAGATATGTCTTATCTACTTAATCCTAGATTAGTAGAAATCTAATCTGCAAGAACAACAGGATTATATTCTATGACGTATTAGTAAATAAACAGGATTATGATATTAAAAACAAAAGAGGAAATGAAGTTATAAAGATATTGTTTTTCAATTTGAATATTGATAAAGAATAAAGAAGATAGTGTTCCCTAAAACCCGTATTTATTGTGCAATCTAAGGGACTGTACAGTCAAGTGTGGAATGTCTGTTTCACAACGGTTCCCTTAATTTCTTTAACTTTTTTCAATTTGGGTTTCTCTGCGAAAATAAGCTGTCGTATAATTCTATTTACAGAAAGCTAAAGAATCGGTATCTTCTACCTTATTTATCAGATAACGGTTTAAAGGACACCGTTTGTGAATCAGGCATGCACTTTAAAATGAAGGATAACATTGTATTACAACAATAGTACTTTTTCATTCATGCACTTCTGAAGTTCTGACCAGGGTTGGTTCCAAACTGCCCACTACACTACCAGTGTGGGCTGTTGGTCTAGTTTCAAGGTGACATAAAATCTTGGAGTACGTAATCAATAATTTTACAAAAAGAGATAAACTCAGAAAAGTAAATTAAACTTTATCAAGGTATTTACCAAATTTGATTTAAGATACAGATTGAGAAAAATATGAATATTTTTTTTTTCAATATTTATTGATATTGATATTTTCTTTTGTGTAGAACAGAGGCGATCTTGGGTGCCCCCCGTCCCCCATATCGAAATTCCCAGGAAAGGCTCCAACCCCCAACCCCCCTCAAGGTGGGATAATCTAGGGGGTCAAGGGGGGGATGACTGTTTTTGTCCCAATACTCCTTTTAAAATGCATTTGTCTTGTGTTTCATTTTGAGAATGGACAAAATGGATAATCTTTTCAATTTACAAACATTGTATGAATTGATTTATAATGATTTCAGTTTATAATTAATTTTCCCGTTCATATATTTATCCTTGAATCCTGTAATCCCGCAATATATTTAGATGTCGTCTTTGTTACAGCGAGTATTTCGTAAGAAAATATATATATTTCATAGCAAAAGCACAAGAAAGCACAAGGGTTTCGGGATAATTTAAATATATAAATAGATTTTAACAACCATATTATTTAGTCAGAGTAGTGTGTTAAAAAATCCGATTTTAAGAGTTTTCAATGAAATAGTGGGTTTTTGGTCGAAATTCTTAACTAAAACATAACATTTAAACAACAATAAGAGACATCTCTCAAAAAAAATTCTTAAGCGGCCAAGCCTTATTTGACATAAATAAGAGGTTTATGGAATACATTAATTGAATATGGTGTATACTTATACTGTTGGTGTATATGTTGTTAATCGTTTTTGAAAACAATCGTTAAACGATCGTTTAGTTTACGAAAAAAAAACAATCGTTTTAAAAATGACCCACTCGTTTTGAACTTTTAGAAAACGAATAGTGATGGTTTTTTGAAAACGATCCTTTTTATAAAAACGTTTAGCGATCGTTTTTTATACGATTGCTTTTAAAAAAACTATCGTTTTTGAAATATTTTTTTTCATTGAAAAATATGTTAACGATCGTTAACGAAGGGTCGTCATTTACGATCGTTAACGAAACGGCCAGTTTTATAAAAACTATAGTTTTTCAAAAACGAAAACGAAACGATTGTTTTAAAAACGATAGTTTTTTGTTTGTTTTTGTCGACGTTTTGTGTATTGTGTATATGTAAATTGTATATATCAATGCTATAATTTGGTTATTTTTTTGTTCGCTTGAAAAAAGTTTGGGTACAATAAAAAAGTATCTATAATGATTATTTTAGATGGGACATAGTACTCCTCACAAAGTATCATTTAGGTTACTAGTCCCATGGTTTGGTGCAAATGCACAAGAAGTAACCAGTTTTATTAGGATACATACAAGACGTTCATTATTTTAAGATACACTGGCCTGGAGCTAACACTGTAAAGATTGAACCTGGAAAAGATTACGTAAGCCTCAGAAATACCAACAAATTTAATATTTTGACTTTATCCATTCATGCTGAAGCATTGTTGACTGGAACTCCGTGGTCAAATTCAAGATTATAAAAAAAGATTAGATTATATTTAAAGATGTGGAATTTTACTGATCAAAATAGTTTCCTCCACATTAACCTGCTTCAAGCTAAATAAAAACAAAAGAATTGAAAACTCACCTTTTCCTCAATTAATTTTGAATCTTTTTCAAATGGTTTACATCTTTATTATTTTAAAGTCAGAATTTAAAATTAATGTTTAATACATTAGAAAAATAGCGTTCAAGATAAGATCCTTTGTGTCTAAATATCTTTATCAATAAGAGTAAAGTTAAAAAAAAAAATCCATAGACACACAGATTTAGTCTTAAAAGTTGCATAAATTTTCAAGACCGGGTCGGCTATAAAGTGTCGCAACGCCAATACCTTTATATTTCACTTAACAATTTCAATACTAGTTTTTTAAGACATAAACAGTTTAGAACTAAAACTAGAATTGTTTTTAATTTAGTTTATACATCGTAATTTGTAAAATTCTAATCTATCCTTGCCCTAGAACAATCTTTAAATCACTATGAAGATAGACTGTGAGAGGGGCTAATTTTTTTAATCACTTCACCATTTTTTTTATCAAGATTTCGTTACCCTTAGATATTGGAAAAGAAAAATATGGAAGACGACATTTATTTCTGAGAAATATTGTATATTTTAATTTCCAGAACTGATATGTCTGTAATAAAACCAGCCAGTGTACAAACAAACACGAGCGATTCTATCTACTCAACCCGATTTTACTAATACAAAGTTTTGCACATAACTTGGCGGGTTGTTTTTTAAAAATCATCCCTTGCACTCTGACTATTGAAAAAAATTTTGTGAGCAGACCTTGAAAAGTTCAAACCCTCCCCAATTGATAATGAATAACACTTTGCAGATGTTATAATAACTTATTCTTACTGCATGTAAAAAAAACAATTTTGGATTTGAATTAAAAATGTTATCCTCTGATTTTTGTAATTGTTTTTAAAGTATAAAGTGATTATTACAGATTTAAAATATTTTCATTTTGGAAGACGACTTTTCTGCATAGTATTCGTTCACTGCAATATACAATGATATACTATTGTCAGCATATATACCAATACAAAATCGTTTACAGCAATGGTATATTGATACAATACAGATACTGACATGTATTTTCAATACAGTCTCCAGTACTAAAACGCTACAGCTAATAATATGGTCTTTGTGTATATCCCCCCTGTATTTCAGTAAATGCCCTGTATTGGAGTATATTTTGAGGAATGTGATTGAAATAACCTTTCTTGAAATCTATTGAGGGTTATCCACACAAAATGAGACTTCAATAAACAAAAATATAAAAAAATTAGTTTTGGTTATTTTACAGGCATGCCAAAACACTTGTAATTAATTAGTATTTGAGTAGTATTTAAGTGTCTTGCAATACTTTGTTACTTGGTATGAACCATTTTAATTTACTGTCCTTTGATAAAAAAATTATACTGGTTATTAGTATTTGTATAATAAGTATGTATATGCTTTAAATGCATTGCAATCAAGGTTCCAATACGTCCCATTTTAAATCAACTAGATTAGGGGCTTGGTAGAAAATCAAATCGAAGATAAATTTTACTTTAGAAACCTAAATTTTCATCAAGAAACATGTTAGTCTCCAATTTTAAAAATGAAATATTGTTTGAACGTAATATGCAGCTCGAGGACATTCGACGATGTCTAGTGAGAACCAGAAAACGGGGGAAGAGGAAGACGACATTATGTTTAATTGTTTTAATGTTGTTGCAAAGTAAATAGTTATTACTTTAATCCTTTAAAGAAATAACTTAAGTCAAAAGTTCGTCTTTATATTAAAGGATTTTCTTATTATATCTGGGCCGGGTAGCTTCCAATGAAAAAGGGTCTTTCATATTTTATGGGTGGTTTGAATCTGATTTTAAATTAAATTATGCAAAAAAGGAAACTAAAATTTGGTGATACCGAAAATGTCAATTTATTTTTGTTGAAGTTTGTTTGTTTTTGTGAATAAACAAGGGTTTCACAATGTTATGCACTCGATGTGTTATAAAATGTGACATAAAATCTTATCGTTTAAACAAAACTTTATAGATCCTATGTGAATTTGTCACTTTTCTTATAATACAAATAAATTCTATTCACAAAGCTGTTACATCGCTGTTTGGTACAGAAGGAGGTCCAGCAATTACTGAACCATTTTTAAGCGGACCAGACTACCAACATCTGATCACACCATATACAATATTATCCACCACTGAAACCATAGGTTCCTTATACAACAGATTTAAACAGGAGCTAAGTACATTTCCTTGCCGAACTCCATTATTTATTTATTTTTTATTCTAATTTTGCGGAAACATATAGTTGTATTTTAAGATGATGAATATATTGCTGGGTATATATTTATCCCTGAATGGTAAGATTTTGAAACTTTATCGTTTATATAATTCTTATGCCTGCATCCAAATCGGACCATGACAAACACTGAAACTGCTACGCGCGGATTTCAGCCACCGTGCGTAAAATTCTGTCCCGTCGGCGTGCCTGCAGTATGCACAGATGATCTACAGAAATATTAACAATTCATTCATTCTAAATTAAATGGCAGTATAGTATAAAGTGATTGAAAAAAAATGTGTTCCATCAGACTTGTTTGTTATTCTATGGTCAGAATGTGTCTCCTCTTCTACCCTAATTCTCTATTGTATCAAACACTCCCTCCCTTCCCTACCACCCACCTTCTCCACCACTACCACCCGCCAAACGCCAATTACATCCCCCCCTACCACTCCCCTCAACTCGCATGCTCTACGCCCCTCTCCTTTTCATTAAACAAGGCCGATAAAAAATGATTTAATTAATAATTATTAATAATTGATCCATTAAATTATTAACTTCTTTTGAACCTATCACTTTGTTGTTAGATATAAACCTAAAGAGACTGTTAGTGTAATTACGTAGGAGTACCCCAGGAGCCTCCATGTAAAGATGGCAATATGCCCTATTCACATCGTTACCCTTAAAAGCTTTTATCTCCATGATCAAGTAGGTATAAATGTTTATAATTTTGACATGTGATTGTTTACTATTTCTCTTTCTCCACAAAAGAGACAATTGAGCATGAATACTGCATGACAACACAATGGAATTATCGGAAATAAGCAGTTTAATATCTAGAAAAAACTTTAATACATACTATAATTTTGATCAGATAAAGGAAGACGACTTTTAGACACAGCAATTATGTAGCATATACAGGACCTATTTCACTTAGTGATTTAATAAGTTAAAACTAAAATATTTGCTTTTGACAAGATAAAACTTAATTATTGCTTTAATATCGTCTTTATATTCCACAGTTTTCTAGTTTTCACTGTAATATACTGTGGTAAACAGAAAGCTATGGAGCATAAATTAGTTTCGTGCTGATCTACACAAACATACAGTCCCTTTAGATATACTTAATACATAATTATTTTATGCGAAACATGATTGTAACTAGATCCATTGAAAATCATTTTCGATCTTTTGATTTATTGGTGATATACGGTGGTAAGCGAGTAAAACACAACAATGAAGACGACTTTTTTATTTAAGTTTTGATTGTTGACAAGCTTTTTTCGAATTACAAGTTGTAAAGTAATTAAAGAGAAGATTTTTTAATTGATATATTCTCTTGACTTCTATGTTTGTGTGTATCCATGCCGTTTAACAGCTTAATTTATATGTGAATTAAATTCGAAAGTCGTCTTCATTGTATGAATATAATCGCCTACCATAGTCGACAACCTACTTTCACACGGATGGTTCTTGAAACAATATCACAAATTTCTATAAGTCTTGGAATTTCCAAAATGTGGTCTACCTTTTTTGTGCTCTCAAAATTACCAGAGATATGATTAATTTTGTGCATATTTCGACAATTATGCTTTTATTTAATACAATTGAAATTTATTCTTAATTCTTAATACCTGAGTAATATTGACAGCACTAAAAAAGACAAAAAAGGAGAATTTTGTGGTTATTGTTTCAAGATTCATCCATGGGAAATAAGGTTGATGAATGAATATCTCAAATAAATTCAAAAATTCAAATACAACTTTTAAACCGTTTTGCTACTTTCATGCTTCGTGGGACACACTGTAGTTGTTTTGTGTGTATTTAATAAGACAAAAGAACTGATCACCAATTATTTCCAACATTTCGGTTTAATTTTCAATTTTGAAAAATACTTCAGTTGTTTTGATTTTTTTTCTCAAACTTAAAAAAAACATTTTATAAAACTAAATACTTTTTTCTAAGACTCCATTTAATACTCCCAATTAACCTTTTTAGTTCTTTATCGTTAACGACAACCCTTCGTTAACGATCGCTGAATACGACCCTTCGTTAACGATCGTTAATTACGACCCTTCGTTAACGGTTGTAAACATAATTGTCAATAACATTTTTTTCAAAAACCATCGTTTTTTCAAAAGCGATCGATTTAAAAAAATCGTTTAAAAACGGTCAAAAATCGTTTTTAAAACGAGTTCTTAAACGTTTTCTAAAACGATCGTTATTCTTTTTCTAAAAATTCAAAAGGATTGAAAAACGAAACAAAAAACGATAGTTTAACGATCGTTTTGAAAAACGATTAACAACCCTATCTATGTGTAGACAGTAGACACAAAATAAATATCCAAGGATCCCATGAATAGTGATGGCGTGTACAGGATTGGGGAGGTGGGCAGTTTATCAGTTTCAAAAAGCGTTTAATATTAATCTTTTGATCTTGATATCTTGAGGATCAATGCTAAATCTCCTCGTTTCCGTTATTATTTTAGGATACCATAGCTGCAGGATATCAGTAAAAAGTTTAACAAAAGATTAAAAAAAAGATCGAGATCAAACATTTATCTTGATATTTACGATACAAAAGTTCTCAGCTCTTAGCTCTAAAAATTTGCATTTGCATATTTATTTTTTATTTTAAATTGTGCAGTTTGGGCTTTGTTTCTAAAATAGATTTTTTTCTCATTATATTAAAAAGAAAGATGATTGAGTCATTCTACAGTGTTTATTGTTTAGTCATAAAATAGTATATCATTCCTTATTACTCACTCCACATACAGAAGAACAAGCAATGAGACTATACAACTTATAGATTTGCAATAATATATTGTTTATAAGCTAGATTATGAAAAATCTTTTAATAATTTTTCATATATATATATGATATATAAATCATCGTTTTGAAGATTTAAGAGTGGAACTGGATGAGAAAAAACTTCCTGAATTTTGAAAAAAAGAAAAATTATTAAACTTTTTTCATATGATTTATGTCCAACAATTCATTGTTAAGTTTGATCTCTGTATTTTTAACGTAGAGCTAATTCATTTATTAAAAAGATAAGGTTCTGAAAGATAAGAACTCCAGGTAGTATTATAGTAGAGACTCCTGTAGTAATAATACTAGACCTAGAGTCAGCTGTAAGATCATCCATGATCATGTTTCTAGTTCTACTCCTGGTCCTGAAAACCAGTTCAACAGGATCCAGAGTATCCAGGAGTAAACAAAGTAATGTGAATATTCAGATACAAGTGCAACAGAGGTATTTAGTTACAGAAGTGAGGATTAAATGTCGTCTTTTTTCTGAAAAGAATTCATTCTTTAAGTTGAATTACAACCTGATTATAGAAAAACACTACATTTTAAAGAAAATCTATCATCTTATAATATATAAATAATATATAATGAATTTTACTTGTCTGGGTTTCGGTTTTTTTGTATCCAGTAAACGTCAAACGGCCCAATTTTGTATGGCAACTCACCTGACCCAAGGTTATAGGCTTATGGACCGTCAAATTTGTCCAGAGCTGAAAACTTTAGAACGGTGGATATCTAGATTAATGCTTGATCTCATCTTTTTCTTAATCTCTAGATTAAATAAGGCTTGTTCTCCTCTTTTAATTAATCTCCAGATTAATTAGCCGATCGGGATAAAGGATATCCCATTCTAAAGTTTTCAACTCAGGCTAAATTTTGAAAATGCGTCAATTTTAATTAAAAATTCCACCAACATTTCAGAATTATGTAAAAGAGCCACTTTAAGAACAATAGTTAAAAGTTAGCTAAAATAAGAAAAGGGGTAGCGCAAAGCGCTAATAAACGCTAGTTTTTTAAATATTTAAAATAGTTTCCTATAGTTCACAATTTACCTATTCTATCTATGACAAGAGTTTGTGTTATTGATCATGAAATGCCTAATGAATAAATGAATAGATGACTAATTGAACATACATACATACAACAGATATTTGATAAAGGCTCCAGTTAAAATATAAAAACTGTGGAATAGAAAGACGATATTAAAGTAATATTTATGTGTATTTGATGTTGAGGCAAATCGATTATGTGATAAACTACATTAAAGCAATACTCAAGTTCATTAGTTGTTATAATCAAGCAAATAACTTTAAAATTCGGTGATGGTGATAGACCAAACCTCTGTAGAGTAAATAAAGTAGATGTTAGTTCTACAATTATTAAAAATATATTTCGGTTTGGGTTGACCCTCGTCAGTTTCTGTGACAACGATTTAAATCAAACAAATAACTTATTAAACAAATTATTAAGTGAAATTAGACCCAGTTGCTGTGCTGTGCATGTTTCTGTGCTTATGTTTATTGACTATTAAAAGGCAGAAATTGGGTCTGCAAGTTGACAACTCTAATTTTCTAAATCTTTTATTTTTTCAGCCCGATGTCGCGGAAAGAAACAGTTCTATTATTTGTGATTTGACACATTTTGAAGAATTATATGAATTTGTGATCTACTCTGTGAATATATTTGTAAAGAAACCAGATCACGGATTTTTAAACATATCACATCTACAGCTCACATATCTATATATATCCCTACTTTAAAAAAATTAAAATTTTTAAGAAGTTTGCATTTCTCAAATTTTAAGAAATTGTAATTATCTTATTTCATAGTTTGGAAATTATAAATGTTATGGATAGCTTTAAAGACCCTTGAGCTTCAAAATTTAATCTTACTTTCAAACTATTATAATTACTTTTCCTAGAATTCATTCAGAAGTTACCACAGACAAAGATTGTTCATGTTTTTCAAAATAATAAGAATATCTCAACTTTCCGATAATTTAATTTGCACACAATTGTTGTTTTTAATGTAAAAATTCAAAATCCAAAGCCAAAATGCTAAATTATAATGATAATTACAATAATACATAAAGTAAATCTATTTTTTTATGGCAGGTATTAACATAAGTCCATTGTCCAAAATAATTCAAAACGCAATGAAATTATTTGAAATTCAAATTTAGGAATTTTTAAATAAACAATCTCAAAAACATACATTGATAACCAGAAATATTAAGACTACTTTTAGAATCAAGTTTTGACTTTAAATAGTTAAATAGTCCAGTTAGCATGGGACAGCAGCAATTATGCAGTGTAAATAGACCCATTTAAATTAATTAGTGATTTATTAAGTTGCTAATTAAACTTGTTGCTTTCTAACAACATCAAATACACTATAATATTAACATAAGGTCGTTTTCTTATTTCAGAGTTTTCTGGTTATCACTGCAGACAATAAACATAAATTTTGAATATTAAAAGCAAAAATAAATTAAAACTAACGAATTGCCAAAAAGGTTTGATATTTTCAACTAAGAATTCTGTTAGACCAAACTTTCGAAATTTAAAATATCAAAGTTTTACACCATTAGGACGCAAAAATATAGGGATCACAAAATTTTAAATTGTGGCAAGAAATCAGTTACCTGTATGTAATAAAATCAGTTACCTGTATGTAGTAAAATCAGTTACCTGTATGTAGTAAAATCAGTTACCTGTATGTAGTAAAATCAGTTACCTGTATGTAGTAAAATCAGTTACCTGTATGTAGTAAAATCAGTTACCTGTATGTAGTAAAATCAGTTAACTGTATGTAGTAAAATCAGTTACCTGTATGTAGTAAAATTCAAACAGAACGACAAAAGAAAACAAAAATAAAAGAGCCCAAGGGAAATAAAAAATATCCAGTAAATTGTAAAAAGAAACAATATAATTAATATGAATTTTAAAAACGATCTAATTAGTCCATATTCAAGGAAGTAAACAAACATTTGAAATAGAATTATCGAAAATTCTTTCAACTTTTAAAGATAAATGAATTCGATCCCAATTCTTCAAACAAATTGAAAACTGAACCGGCAATTGAAAATTCACATAGTTTGCATTTTCGCAAAGATGAATTCGAATCTGATAATCTGCAAATAGAAGATATTCAAGATTTATATTGATAGATTTATCAATGAAATCTTCGAGCTTTTCTAAGAATATTTCATCGTCCCTACTAGTGGTTTGATTTAGGGGGGGGGGACAACAGGACATGTGCCCCACCTCTCCTAAAAATTACCTATTTAAGTATAGGTAACTGCCTTTTTTACTTCGTATACGTGTGTTTTGCTCCCATCCCTTATATACCTTGTGCCCCCCCCCTTATACAAAATTTCAAGTCTCGGGCTAGGCATGGTTACTTTAATATTAATATTTAGGGTGAACAACTTAAACCGTTAAACGTCCAAATTCTTAGAAAAAAATTACCAAAGTTTAAAAGAAGGTTTTATATAAACAAAATAGTAATCTCTGTCTGCTTGGGTCTCCGTTTATGAACCCCCTGGCCGATTTGCTTCAACATTTTCAGGGGGAACTCGGTAGAACCACGGGAATATTCGTAGCCTAGTAAAAAAAATGCATATTCAGTTTGCTTGTTTTTATAAGGAAAAGTCCAAGCATAGCCGGGTTTCCAAGCTAGGGCTTCTATGAAATCGTTAATGTTGAATTTGTATACACAACTCTTAGAGATACCTTTCCTGTTCTCATTTATATGTTTTCATTGTGCCGGAAAATCTGCAGTTTTCTTTGTTTTCTAAACACGGATAAAGAAAGGAATGTGCACTTTTAACAATGTGTTCGCAATAGTGACGAAGCTTTGGGAAATTACAACATTTTTTTTGGAAATATTACGAAAGTTGTTCGAAATTATAAAAAATTAGTTTGAAATTACAAACTATTTTGTTCGAAATTATGTTTGGTAACTTCTAAAACTTTTGTTAAAATCAAAAAATTTTATTCGAACTTACTAAATTTTGTTTAAAATTGTGATCATTTTCTCGAAATTGCAAAACTTCTGTTCAAAATTGTGAAAAATTGGCTCAAAATTTTAAAAAATTTCTACAATTTTTATAAAAATTTTGTTCGAAATCTGAAATTTTATCGAAATTATAAAAATTTTATTCGAAATTATAAAGAAAATGCGAAATATTTAAAATTTTGGAATCCATATAATTCTTATTTCGACCAAAACGATTGTGATTTTGAAATACTTTTTTCAGTTTAACAATGTGAAATACATGTAAAGATTCAAAAGTTTATAACCCCGCAAAGTTTCTGTTAACAACATTTTTTTGTATGTAATTTGTAAAATTGATTGATTTTCTTTTTGCAATCGTAACTCGTAAGTTCATGAAGGATCAGGGTGAAAATGCACCTGTTATTTATCATGCCAGTTCCTCCATCTATACATTCTCTGGTTTTCCAGTTTATTGTTCTTGAATAAAGAAAATGCGGAAAATTTTATTTATTTTCTTTCTTGCTTTCTTCAGAATTATGATGCAGTAGACTTAATCCGCATTTCAAAAAGATGGTTTATGAGAATCATGGCGGAATTTAACTGTACGACTTTTTAAAATTCTTTTTATTGACTTTTTATTAATTTAAATCTATAACCACTCCAATCCCATAGCTTGTTCTAACCACAGTTCTCGGTACAATGGGCTGCCTTAGACACGTGGCCATTGGAGTCTTGTAACCTGCAAGCCCCAAATGGCCCAATCTAACCCAGCATGATTTAAATTAAATTATTTTCATTTGGAAAAAATGTGATTTAGAAATATAATAATATTTAGGTGGATAGTTGTACTGACGCTATCTAGCAAAAATATCAAATTCTAAAAAACATTTTAAAATTTAAAAATATTTAATCAAACCAAAACAAAGAGAAAAAATGATATATATAATATATTTAAGGTTAGAGGAGGGTGTTCCAGCAAATTTAACCTGTATCTTACACACTGTAGATCAGACTATAGAAAGTGTTCTGGAACCATCCTTTAGAATAGGTAAACATTTGTAAAATTTTTTAAATATTTACAAAATTACAATTAAGTGTTTGATAGAATCATCCTTTAAAATAGGTAAACATTGATAAATATTTGTAAACATTTTTGAATATTTACAATGAAGTTTTTGATAGAATCATCCTTTAGGTAAGGTCTCTCCTCGAATTACATTAGACCTCTCCTCAAATTACATTAGACCTCTCCTCAAATTACATTAGACCTCTCCTCAAATTACATTAGACCTCTCCTCGAATTAAATTAGACCTCTCCTCAACTTACATTAGACCTCTCCTCGAATTACATTAGGCCTCTCCTCAAATTACATTAGACCTCTCCTCGAATTACATTAGACCTCTCCTCAAATTACATTAGACCTCTCCTCGAATTATATTAGACCTCTCCTCGAATTACATTAGACCTCTCCTCAAATTACATTAGACCTCTCCTCGAATTACATTAGACCTCTCCTCAACAATTCAACACGTCCAAATTCTGCCTATTATGACCATTGAACGTTAACTTAAGTGTTTGTAAAATATATGATTTGAATTTTAAAAATGTATGCAGCATGAATATATTTTGAGAATTAAAGTTTGAAAAAAATGTTCGAACCATCTACTTATGTCACATAATGTTGAATGAATTGGAACTTGGAACTAGAGGAGCTTCATAAGGCTTGAAATTTGTTAAAGACAATTTTAGAAACAATTAAATTAGCATTTTTCATAGCGATGTAATTATTAATGATATATATTTGGTATTTTCTGATAAAAATTCTGGTTTTTATATAAAATCATAATGTGTAAAATTTATTAAAGTTACCTTTGTTCATTTAAAACATGTTAGACTCAAGTTTTCATGTTAAACAATGCAGTGCTATGAACATGAAAAAACAGCCATTTCTCTATTTCCATTTCGAATTTATTTTACTAAACAGTTAAATTTTAAGTTGCTGGTAAAACTGTTTGCTGTATCAACAAATTACCTTTACCATTTGTTAACGACTTGAAACATTTAGGAAATGTTCTGCAAAGTGATAATTCAATGACCATAGATTGCAATAAAAAACGAAATATTTTCATTTCAAAAATCCATTCCCTTAACCAAGAATTTTATTTTAACAGTCCAGATGATATTTTGAAGCTGTATAATATTTAGTGTTGTAGTTTTTATGGATCTAGTATTTGGGACTTGAGTTCCCAATGTGTTTCAAAATTGTATACAGCATGGAATAATGCTATTAGAATTCTTTTTAATGTACCTAGAGATACGAAGAGGTACTAGGGTGAAAGTATTTCACGATGTTTACATGTAAAAACTATGTTAGCTAGTAGATGTGAGTCTTTCTATGAGACTATTGAAGTAAGTTCTAAGCTTTGCATTAGATTTCTTTCTAATTTATGTAAAAATGACCTTAACACAGTTCTTGGCAGAAATTTATTTTCTATTGCAAATGATTGTTCTGTAAATCCTTCGGATCTTAAAATGTCAGTTAAGAAACAAATGAAATATTTAGATGTCCCATTGGAACATGAATGGAAAGTTCTGGTTTCTTTTAAAAGAATTTTTAAATACAAGAGTGAATAATTTATATGTTGAAGGATTCGATGCTAACGTAATAACTGAAATGACAATTATATTATGTAATAAGTAATGATCAATGTCGCCTATTTGTGCATAATTTTGCATAATTTTCTTCAAATTTAAACTAAACCATTTATAAATGTACTTATATCTAATTGTTTGTGAATAAATCTTTATAGTATACAAAATAACCAAAAGTTAGGATTTTTTTGTGTTGCATTTTTACAATTTTATGTTTTTCAATAGTTGATGGTGATGAACTAGCTGTTACTGGGTTAGAAAATTCTCCAATAGATGGTGGAATATCATTTTCGGGACAGGTAAACTTAAAGGGAGTGTTTGCGAAAAATAAAGCGATCACAATCGTTAATTTTTCGCTGTAAGCCTAAACCTCTTTTCATTTTTCGCGAACACTACCTTTAAGTTAATTATGATATAATGAATTTGTCCAAGGAACAATGAAAATTCAAATTTTGCTGAGCACAAATTTAGTTGTGCCGCAATTTGTGCACTATTTTTGATCCCTTTGGCAAAAATAAAATTTAAGAGAAATGAATCAAGTCTTAGCCTCAAACTATGATTTTCTAATACCCAATATCGGAGACCTTAGATATTTCAATATCTGTTAATTCGGTTTCAAAAATGCTAAGTCTGAAATATCAAAGGTTTAGATAATTTGTTTGCAAAGATGGAATGATTAGTAAATTTGAGTTTGTGGCAAAGAATCAATTCTTTAATGTAAAATTATCTATTTTCGACGGTGGCCCCAGATTTCATAAATATAACAAGAAGGGATTGAACCGCGTAGACGTAGTTGAACCACTTTTCATGTATGCAGGCTCAAAATAAAAGAAGTGGTTCAATAAATCTGATCTGTTCATTAAATCTGGTTCTTAAACTTTAAGCATTGAAAAGTGTAAGAAACAACAAAAACTGAAGAAAATAAACATGCAAACCTTAAGTCCTTTTATTTCCATGCTTTCTAATTCTCAAGTTTATAAAGTTTTTATTGTTCTAGTTTACCCCCACTGCCGAGATGAACTTGAAACTGCTGATTTGTGAACTAGGATTGGAGACTTCAACGCCGACCATGCTCCGGGTCATGAGTACATCTGGCTTACCAAAAGGTTAATGTCATAATTTAAAACGTTCATAACGTACGCTAGAAATGTCATCCTATTGTTGATTAACAGCGAAGTAATTGAACTAGGAACGAATGGTTGAAGTACACTAATGTGATAAAGAATGAATAAGAGATTTAACTTTGACAATTTATTTCTTTTTAACAGTAATTATGGAGGAAATTGTACCTTGAAAACACAACGATTTATTCCACATAATTGATTAGATAATAGTTTTAAATGTATTCCGTCTTTAAATGTCACTTTAAATCACAAAAACATGAACTGTAATTTATTTTGTCTACTATATAACTTAAGTACATAATTGTGTGTTTTGTAGGACGGTCTATTGGAAATACTAGATCTATGTTTAGTATAGTAGACAGATACCCACATGGACAGCCAGCTCAGGTAGAACACTAGATCTATGTTTAGTATAGTAGACAGATACCCATGGACTGCCATCTCAGGTAGAACACTAATCTTTTTTTTTGTATAGTAAACATACACCAACATGGACTGCCATTGTTTTTGAAAACGATTGAAAAAAACTATCGTTTTCTGTTACAATCGGTTTTGGATTTCATACAGTAATAACCAAAATTCTCTGAAATAGGAAGACGACTTTTAGAATCAAGTTAGAACTTTTAAAAGTTCAATGAGTATCAGATTGTGCAGTGTAATCACTAACTGACTCACTGATTCAACTATTGTCTAATAAAACTATCTGTTCTGTTACATATCAAATGCACATAAGTATTGCTATAATGTCGTCTTCCTTTTCTTTTATAAAACAAATACATCAGAGGAATTGAGATACTGAATGTTTACATGTACCATTTAGAGTTAAGGGCAAGTTATCAGTGTCCGAATTTAATGAATTCGAGCCGCGTCTTAAATCCGCCAAAAACCGGTTTCAATTGAGCGCCGACTTAAATCTTGAAACATTGAATACAATTTTAAGTGAAACCAACCATATTTGAGCCGCAGCTTAAATTCTTTAAATTCGGCTTCTGCAGTTCTTGTTAAACAATTGTTAAAAAAATAGGGCCTAAAACCATTTAAAACTTTTTGTTGAGTTTTGTTTTACTTAACATTCTTAAATAATGAAAAGATTCTGGAACAAGTTTTCCTTTGGTAAAACTTTTTCTTTGGGTTCAGTGTTTTTCTTTCTTAAGTTTAACAAAATATTTTCACATCCTCTCATTCATTTTTCAATTCTTTATTCAAACATAATGGATGGGAAATATAATGAAAATCTTTCTAAACAAAATAGAGACCAACACTTTCGGGGTGAAGTGCTGACGTAAAACTAATTACAACGAAGTGCATCCTATAGTGTATCGGAATATTTGTGGTTATATTTTGATCTCTCAATTAAAATCTGTCAAAAATAGCCTCAGAGACATTATTTACGTAAATATATGACATAAATATTCCAATAAAAAAGTCAAAAAAGCAAATACGAAATTTTTTTGATTAAAGTGTAAAATTGGTTTTAAAGTTAAGTTACATTGGAGTTGTTTTACAGTAATATTGCCAAAACATTGTATTAGCTTCCGAAGAAATAAAATTTTGTAAATAGATGAATGCTACTTTGCAATAAATATCATTTTAATTGGTGTAGTATTATAATAATCTCGGTTTGTCCGATCATAACTCATGCTGAGCATGGTGTTAACATTCTTAGTCGAATTTTAGGGGAAGCTCGAGGCAAAGCAGGGTTCCAAATATGTTGTCTCATATATAGAATTAAAAAATTCTTGCAATTATGTATGAATTATAATTGTTGACAGGGTAGAAAGTGCAGAAACTTTGATAGTATGGTCGTCTTACTTCTTGTTCTTTGAGTTTATATTTAGTTTCTGTAGATATCATATCAATCATTCAATTCTTTGTTTAGATTCCTGAAATTATCTTAAAAACAGAAATCAGGTTTAATTTCAACTGCTCCTCTCAAGGTAAAAAAGCAAATTTTTTTTAGCTTTATCCCGATTGGGTTATTTTTGTCTTATATAGGTTGGGGATGTGGTTTTATCCACCCCCCACCCCAATGATTGTGCACTTAGATTTTAGAAAGGGGACTGTAATACATGTCCCTAATCCAACTTTTCAAGGCCTGCTCATCAAAAAAAATAGACCTTTCTCTTCCGTGGTTAGGGTGCAAGGGAGAATTTTTAAAAAAGTGCAAAAAGTACGTCGTAAAAATGTTCAAAAATTAAAATTTTTACTTTTGAAAAATATCAACATGTGACATATATTATTTGTTACATTTTTCAAGGGCTTTTCAAATATTAGCCCTGTAGCTTAATTAATAAAACATCTATTAACCATTTCTAATTTTTTTTAAACACTTTGACTGTCTACACCCTAACAAAGTTTATCAAAATATGTATGAAGTTAAAAAAAAATTGTATCGTTCTATTGTAAACCGTTATTAAACACAGGTTGGGGGGAGGGGGGGGGGAAACATTTTGTTAAAAAATGTAAATTCTGACAAATTATGCAAGTCATTCTTTTGTAAGAAACGACAAATTATCAATTTCTAGAAACAAGAACAAGGATATATTTTCGTTCATTTTCTGAAGTGTAACGTTGTCAAACGAAAATTACAATGGCCACTTGAAATTTAGTTGACAGTTCCTTTCATGTTGGAAAAGTTTTTTAGGTTTCTAAAAAACAAAACAAATGATTTAGATGTTTGGCTGGATTGCAAATGGAAATTTCCAATATCTGAGGAACCATGTGCTATGTATAAAAGGTAAAAATAAATAGTTAAATATGTTTTAAGATTTTTATGCAAGTCGAATAAAAAATCATGAATTTCAAAAAAAGGATCAACAAAAACTTAATAATGGTCGGTATTAATGTCAATACAATAAAGACGAATTTTAACTTTTTAACCCTATCTCTGCTGGGGTACTTGAAAACCAGGATATGCTGGCGGGGTGGGGTGGTCATTTTGACCCCCCCTCTAAATCCCATGTTTGATGTCCAAATAAAACAAATGATACATCATTGAAAAGCTCTTGTGCTCTACTGTTAGAATCTGCAACAAAATTTACAAATTTGCAAAAATTGAATTTTTTATCGCAAAATCCAGTTATATAGTAAAAATGTTTGCAAAACAAAATTTGTCCAAAAAATGAAAAATTATATATTTTTGAAAAGCCCTTGACCATGACATTTTAAATATGCAAAAAATTTTGCAAAATTTTAAATAACCTGATTTTTAATCAAAAAAGAAACTAAAAATGTGCAAATTTCCTTTGACAGGTTGTTTGCAAAAAAAGCTGAATTTTATCAAAATCTGACAAGTGGATGTGGGTCAAAACAAAGATTTAGTTTGTTACAGGAAAAAGCAGTCATTCAGGCAGTGTGCCTGAGGACTCAGGCAGTTAGTATTAAAGCCCAGTTTTAGGCCTAAAGGGAGGGCTTTGGGTATGTAGGAAAAGCCAGAAAATTTCAACAGCCTCAGACCAATACTTTTTGAGTTATGTAAAAAAAACTACAAGGGGGGGGCAAATTGACCCCCCCCAGCAGGAATAGGGTTAAGTTATAATTTCTAACAAGATTTTTTTCGAATTATAAGTTTACAAGAAAACAAAGAAAATTTGTTAATTAACAGTTTCTCTTTGTTTCCATGTTATATGTGAATTCATAATGTTTAAAAGCTTGCTAGTAATCAAAATTTCATATAGAAAGTCGTCTTTATTGTATTGATATAAACGACGACGATGGCATACGAATTATAAATAATTATTAAACCTTATACCTGCTTATTCTGTTTTCTTTACAAAACTCAATGAAAATTATCTGAGGCTGATTAAATCTTATGAAATTGAGCTGAGGCTGATTAGATCTTATGAAATTGATCTGAGGCTGATTAAATCTTATGAAATTGAGCTGAGGCTGATTAAATCTTCTGACATTTTCGTTTCCCACCAACTTCCTAAGTCTACTGCAAACAGACAGTCTGAATATATACTCTTTTCTATGCCAAAGTAAATCTCATTGAAGACCCATTTTTTTTAGTTCAAGTACGCAGAGCTGTAGTTTTGGTGACTTTAAGATTAATTATCACAAATCAGGAGCTCTTCATGTATGTTCTATATTTGGAACATTAGATCCTACCATTGATTTACAGGTATATTTTTATTCAAGTCTTCATATTTAAATTATATATATTTTGGAAGATGATATTCTAAAAGATTTTTGAAAGTTTTTTGCTTTACCAAGTAAATCGCATTTTTTGTTATTTTGTGTTAAACTATTTAAAATTCTCTATTAAAAGGAATTTCAAGTGACCCTCCATTGATATGGTGGCATGTTCGATTGATAACGGCACCCTTAAAAGCTTAATCTGAACAAATATGTTATTTAGATTTTTTTTGTTTAAAAAAAAAATAATTATTACTATTGTGGTTTCTGGACAAGTGCGGCTAACGAATGTTGCTTAAAATGGAGAAATTAATAGAATTAAACACTTTCTAGAAAACTGTTTTTTGTTCTGCACACTATAATTAAGGTTTGAAAGGCACCCCGTTGTGAATCAAGTATACGTCTTTTTAACTCAAGGGTTACTTAGAACTACACCGACATTTTCTTTTGACATAAATCTCATGTCTGCATTGTCCGAATTTAATGAATTTGAGCCGCGGCTTAAATTAGCCAAAAACAGGTTTCAATTGATCACCGGCATAAATTCAATACAATTTGAAGTGAAACCAATCATAATTGAGCCGTGGCTCAAATTTTTTAAATTTGGCCTTTTGGACTACCATTTAGACAATTTTGGTTTAATTAAATCTGAACAAAACTCTCTGGGGTAATATTGAAAGCCCTAAAAAGCAGATCACCCATGAAAGCTTAATCTGATCAAAAATGTGGAAGATACCGACGTTTTTCAAACTCCGAAAGTGTTAATTTCTGATAATTTCTCCATTTCTTCTTACAAGCAAGAAATATACAAGTCACTTTTGCAGAAAAACCGTGAATGAAAATAAACGGTTTAAAGAAACAAAAAACATTGCTATCTTATTCATACTTGATTACACAAAGCTGTTAAGGGTAAAGTAGGACATTGTCATATTTGCAGGGGGGTAACTTAAAATAACGCTTACACTCCCTTTGATTTTAACCGTCATGTTGGGTGGGACACCCTATATCAATATATCAGGGAGATTGGAATTGTGATCTAACGAGCCTACCCATTGAAGAGGATAAATATGATGATGATCAACAATTTTTTAAATTGAAATATCTCAAACCTGCCTTGGTGTCATTCACTCAGGTACAAGTATTTTTTAAAGACAATTTAAGAACAAGTTTCAGATTATCTTTAATGTTTTGTCCACAGGAAGGTTAAAAAAGTTAAGGGATTTAAAAAATCATTATTAAAACTCATTTTGACACATACATTTTTCAGATGATTAAAAAAAAGATTTCAATTGACCAAAATTTAACAACAAATATGAAACATAGAAAGGAATTGAGGTTTTGCCTCAAACTCAGATGTTCTAATCCCTTCATCTTTTCACCCCAGTGTCGTAGACCGTAGATATTTCAATTTATGAATTATATTGCATTAAAAAATCTAATTTGTAAATATTAAAGGTGTCAACCATTAGGTTGCAAAGATATTGGGATCAGAAAATTTGAGTTTGTGGCCTAGACATAGACGTTATAAGCAAGTTAGGGAAGATTAAAAAAATCACGATTTAGACTCATTTCACCTTCCTGGAAATAATATTTTTAAATATTTTTTTATTTATTTTTCTGTGGTACTTCTCCCATTCCCTTCTTATTTATTTCCTTCATCCTGTTTTTTTCCTAAGGAAGGAAGACGTGGAGGAGAAAAGGAGTTGTTTGAAGGAGAAAATTTAGGAAAATAACATGAACATAAAATATTATTGAGTCTATAAACTATGTTTGAAGGAGAAAATTTGGGAAAATAACATGAACATAAAATATTATTGAGTCTATAAACTATGTTTGAAGGAAAACATTTAGGAAAATAGCATTAACATAAAATATTATTGAGTCTATAAATATGTTTGAAGGAGAAAATTTGGGAAAATAACATGAACATAAAATATTATTGAGTCTATAAACTATTTTTGAAGGAGAAAGTTTAGGAAAATAACATGAATATAAATATTATTAAAAAATGTGTAAAAATAGTTTATAACAACAGTCATGGGTTAAGCAAAGAAGTTTAATGTATCCAAATCAATAATTTATATTGTAATCAGTGTAATCAGTAATATTGTAATCAACAATTGACCAAATGACCTTAGAGCCCGAAATTTAAAAGAGTATTGTTGAATGATTCTCCCGAGTTTTCATTTCGGGGTCTTAATATTTAAGTAGATTTTAATTTAAGAGATTCGAAAAAAGGAGAATATGAAGAAACTAAATTATATAATATTTCATAACAAAAATATTGATATCTACAAAACTGCCTAACCCCATTCGTGAAACCCGGTTTTCAAAACTGGTTTTTATAACGATACCCTGTCTTAAGTTTTGGCTCAGAAGGTTTCCAAGTGCACTCAATTTTTAGCATTATAAGGATGTCTCAAATGGGTTAAAATGGAGGTTTAAAGTAAAAAATTGGTAATTAGCAAAATGTTAGTCACTCCAATCTTATCCTCATCCACAAAAGAACGGAATATATAAATAAACGAATAAAATGTAGTTGATCTACCCTGATCTATCTTGAGCAGCCAACATGAAAACTAGAACTGATGATATCATTTATCAAAGAGAAGTGGTTGAACTGACCATGTCAAAATTAACTTCTTTCCAATATCTATAATTTTCCAACTCTTCTCTGTTGTCTAAGTTCTGTTGTTGATCAGAGATGACCTGCTCCGCTACTCAAGGTTTCCCGGAACCTGAAATAGTCTGGCTTCTTAACTCACAACCAGTCAACTTCGATTCAAGGTTAGTCTAGGGTTAAACTAACCTGAGTTCAGTATAATTAATAGGTTTATTCACAGGATTAGTAGGAGTGGTTTTAATCCCTAATCGCCACCCCCCCTCCTGGTTTATCTGTCAGTAGAAGGAGTGGGTTCCTTCCCCGTCAAAATTTAAGAATTGCATCCTATTCACAACGGCACCCTCTAGATATTTGTCTGGGCAAACTTTAAAGGGGGGTCTCTTAAAAAGTTTAAATGACAGAAATAACCCCTTTTTTTTCTTTGCAGGTTTAAAGTTCTAGAGACCGTTGGACCCCGACTAGATAGCGCCTACAATTACTTTCTAAAACAGAGGAATTCAATCAATTAAAAAATCAAAAAATTTGATACTTTTTGTTTTGTTTTATGGTTTCTTGCAAAAGAATTTGTTTCAAAGTTTTGTTTGGTTTTAGAATAATAATATTTATAACGTATGAAAATTAATAACAAAATTAGAACTAATCTGTAAATAAATTCAAATGGTTTGAAAAGTGCCTGGTTGATATAATATTAAATACAATTTTAAATCTATTTTATTTTGTTATGCTTTCAATGCTGAAATTTCTAAAAATCTTTGTAAAAGAATATTACTAAATGTAATTTGAAATTTGCATCTTTAAAATTTTTAAAAATTTTACCTGGAATGATGAGATGAGAGATAAGATCTTTTGAAAAGAAAATATTTTAAAAAGATATTTCCAAATATATTTTTAAATCTGCAATTTAAAGTTTCTTTTATTGTTACCTACAAATTGGTTTGTTTTTAAATTTGTTTCGTTGAAATTTTCAGAATGATAGGATTTTCCATAAAACTATCAAAAACATTTTCAAAAGTTTGATTTCAAGAAGAACTTTGAAATTGAGTAACACAAATAATGCCGGGTGCGTGAACCAATTTTACTTTTTTTCAGACGCTCTAGAAAATGAATTGCCTCTATACAGCATAAAATACATTTCAGATTGCTTTAATGTCGTCTTACTCTTCAATAATTTATTAGAACCAATTCGAGTTTGATTTTATGAAAGCAATTCTTTTCCTCTTTCAGGATCTATAATTTGTTCAATGTTTAGATGATTTTTAGTTTAAAATTAAAAATAGATTTTTGTATTGTAATAGAATTCAATACACTGCTTCCACTCAAGAGAATGGGAAAACAATCAGCTGTAAAGTTGTTCAGACCGATGATGAAGAAAACATCAGGAAAATTATCTATAATTTGACCCCCCTCCCTCCATCCCTTCCATAATTTTAATCTAACTTTTAGAAAAGTTTTATGAAAAGCTTTTGACTTGGACAAATCAAAAATTTTGTTGAATTTCCAATATCAAACTTTTTTGAATTTCATGCAAAAATATGAAACCATTTTGTAAAAAATTGCACTCTTGCCGTTTGCAGTTTGCACTGAATTGTGAACAATTTTTTTTCTCACATTTCACTGATGAGTCTATAGTTGAAATTTTTTAACAGTATTTTTAGGTTTTGCATATTATATAAATGTTTTTTTGGGAGAAAATAAGTTTTGTAATTCTTATTAAAATATGATTATATTATAATAAATTTTATACAGTGAGGTATATGATAAGGATGAACCTCAAATTCATCTTTTTATTAAAGATATACCTCTTCCTCCTCCTGCAGTTGTAACAGCTGAGGTACAGTACAGGTTGTCAAATCAAACATGACAATTTAAAGATAATAAAGAATGAAAAGCATAACAATTTTTAACGAAAAGAGACAAAAACTTGTTCATTTATGAATTAAAGAAACTGACTTTTTGCCCCAAACTCTTATTGTTAACCCCCTATATCTTAGCAAACTGAAGTCTTGAGACCTTTGTATGACTTTTTGGCAAAGGCTCAGTTCATTTGTCAAAAATTCTTGAAAGATTTCTTTTTAGAATCTCCCTAGTCCTGGCATTTTCTCCCTTTTCTGTTTTTTTTTAAATTTCCAGATTTTAGATTTGTATATTTTAAATATACCTGCAAGAGATATAAACTTGCTTGTTTTCAATTTTTAAAACAGAAGAAACCTAGATCTGGGAACTTTTGTGTTGGGTTTATACTTTTAATAATCTCGCTCGCTTGATATCGATATCCGTAATACAAAAGATCAAGATTAAGCATTGATCTTGATATCCCCAATACAAAAGATCAAGATTAAGCATTGATCTTGATATCCGCAATTTAAAAGATCAAGATTAAGCACTGATCTTGATATCCGCAATACAAAAGATCAAGATTAAGCATTGATCTTGATATCCCCAATACAAAAGATCAAGATTAAGCATTGATCTTGGTATCTGTAATACAAAAGATCGAGATTAAGCATTGATCTTGATATCCGTAATACAAAAGTTCCTATCTCAGATTAAACTGTTTTCCCATCCCATGTTTTATGTCCAAATATGACAAATGATACATCATTAGAAAGCTTTTGTGCTCTACTTTTAGAATCTGCAAAAAATTTGCAAATTTGCAAAAATTGAATTTTTTTTTCGCAAAATCTAGTTATATAGTAAAAATGTTTGCAAAAAAAAATTTGTTCAAAAAATGAAAAATTATACATTTTTAAAAAGCCCTTGACCATCAAAAATTTTTGCAAAATTTTAAATAACCTGATATTTAATCAAGAAAAACTAAAAATGTGCAAATTTCATTTGACAGGTTGTTTGCAAAAAATTAGCATTTTTTTTTCGCAAAACTTGTGCAATCCGTTTCCTTATGTCAAAGTCTTTCCAAAAAGCTAAATTTTATCAAAATCTGACAAGCGGAAGTGGGTCAAAACAAAGTTTTAGTTTGTTACAGGAAAAAGCAGTCATTCAGGCAGTGTGCCTGAGGACTCAGGCAAGTTAGTATTAAAGCCCGGTTTTAGACCTAAAGGGAGGACTTTGGGTATGTAAGAAAAGTCAGAAAATTTCAACAGCCTCAGACCAATACTTTTTGAGTTATGTAAAAAAAACAACTTGACCAGCAGGAATAGGGTTAATATTTAAGTTTCGCAAAAGTTTTTTTTAAAATATGAAATATATAGAGATGTTTGGTACTTTGCCAGTGCCTCGAGTTGCCAGGTACCTAACTCACACAGACATTTTTCCATATAATCTTTGTCAGTTGACCATTTTGTAGTTGAACATTTTGCCAGTTGACCATTTGCCAGTTGACAAAGCGGCTACCTGGTAACTTTGTCACATGGCAAAGTGTTAACTAGCAAAGTGTTGCTTGGCAACTTTGTCACTTTGCAAAGTTGTCACATGTCAAAGAGCCGCCTGGTCAGATGATACATGGCAATCTTTTACTGGCAACTCGACCCTGGCAATGTACCTAACATCAATTTAGATGATTGCTGGAATAGTTTTGGTCATCATAGCTTTACTTCTGGCCCTGGCTGTAGTAGGTAATTTGAAAAATTAATCATAATTTTTTGTCAGAAATCGTTTTCTATATTTCGATAAAAAATGCTCTTAAATAAAAGATCAGACTTTGATATTTGCTTTTAAAGTAAAAAAATTTACTTTTCATTTTAAAATGTTACGCTATTTTTTTTGTTAAATGCTTAGGTTTTGCTTTCTACACTAAAAGATGGTGTTTCACTACTCCAATAGTAACAATGCCTGTGGAGGCACATAAGGGATATTATTATAGGCCAGATATAATAATAATAGAAACCAAATTGGCTTGTTATCACTCCAAACTATATAGATGTATAATTGGCTTGTTATCACTCCAAACTATATAGATGTATAATTGGCTTGTTATCACTCCAAACTATATAGATGTATAATTGGCTTGTTATCACTCCAAACTATATAGATGTATAATTGGCTTGTTATCACTCCAAACTATATAGATGTATAATACCCAGACGGATACGGAGAAAATCACGTTTTGCTAATTCATTCAATGAATCTTATGTACAATACATGTTTGTATATCTCATAGATTCAGCCTGCTTATAACAGTCTCATCAATTTTTAAGACAGGGTCATCTTTGAAGTGTCGCAACACCTTGGGCTTAGATTTTACCGCTCTAACTCACAGGCTTTTTGTAGCTTTTTACATGTACATTTAACCAATTAAAGTTACCCTTGAGGTTAACATTGGTTTTTAAAAAGTAATTGGCAAAATTCTAATCGATCTTTGCTTGAGAGCGTTGGACCTTTACATCACAGTGGTATATATATATATCAATTAGTAATTAAAAATCAAAATTATTTTTTAAATCCTATTTGTTTAATATTTGATCACGTACTATTTCAAAAGCGAACCCACTAGTTAATTTGGTCACTCAATCCTACTATAAAAAAGTAATATGTCAAACTTCCGAAAAAACTTTCTCTTATCGTAAAACAATGAAGCAAGAAAAATCTTCAAACTTTTTAAATATTATTCTGTTTAACCCTATCTCTGCTGGGGTACTTGAAAACCAGGATATGCTAGGGCCGCGGGGACCCCCCTCTTTATGTTTGATGTTCAAATATGACAAATGATACATTATTGGAAAGCTCTTGTGCTCTACTTCTGCAAAGTAGTTTTATTTTATAGTTTTCCATCTAGGTTTTTTTTTTGGAATTTGCTTCCAGAATGTGCTCTTCGCAAGCATGCTGTCTCATACTTGTCTTTTTCCCGCACTTTGCCCCTCCGCGGAACTATTTCTTTCGAACTTTGTCTCTCCGATATTTGTCCTATTGCCAATGAATAGAAATGGAAAACCTATAATAAATTTTCAGAGCCGAGAGACTGGGGAAATGATAATTCAAACTGAGGAAATGAATGAAATTAAACTAACAAGGGAATATAATATATTATAGTTGTTTAAAACCTCTTCACGACCAAACTCTACACACTGTAAATTAGAATTTGAATTTACTTCACAGGTGGGAAAAGTAAAAGAAAATACACTAATATGAGATATATCTTCAAAGAAAAACTTTTTGCTTCCTTTATTACGAAATATCGATTAATTTCTGAACACAAAATAAAACTGACAACATAAACATTTATTTTTTCTTTCATTTAATACTATGAACCATGAGTGAAACTCTGTTTTGGAAGATGAAAATATGTTTTTTTTTCTGATAAAAAAGAATTTATTATTATTATAATTATAAAGATTTATTCACACACAAAGATATAAATACATCTATAAATGGTGTAGTTAAAATTTGTTTAAATAATTTTTTTTTGAAAATTTTTGAAAAACCATCTTTTCGTTATTAAAACGACGACGAAAAATCGAAAACGAAATGATCGTTATTAAAAGTTTGTTTTTAAAAAATGGTCGTTTTAAATAGACCGTTTTGCTTAGCGATCTTTTTTTTAAACAAACGTTTTTATAAAACTCGTCGTTCTGTTAACGATCGTTTTTAAAATCGTTAAGAAATGGTCGCAAATAGTTTTTTACAAAAACGATCGTTTTCAAAAACGGTCGCTTTCAAAAACGGTCGTTTTCAAAAACTGTCGTTATTCGTTTTCTTAAAGTTCAAAACGAGTGGGTCGTTTTTAAAAATGATAGTTTTTTTCCAAAAACGAAACGATCACTTTTGATCGTTTTCAAAAACGATTGACAACCCTAATCCAATATGTATTTTACTTACTAGGAACATTTTTTGGAACAATTTAACGTCGTTAACTGAAAAAAAGCCTAATAAAATAATATTTAATATATTTTCAGAGACAACATATTTACAATATTTTGATAACTTATTTCGTTATTTGGTTTTAGTAAAAAGGTTTGATAAGCCAGTAAAACATTAAAGAAAATGTCTCTCTCAAGAAATAAGTTACCCTTGTTTTAAAAGGTTGATTTCTGTTTTTGTGAAAGGTTTTGAGACCCAGACAGATCTTGGAGATGTACAACCAATTATAGACAAAGATACAACAGCAAACTTTTCTTTAGATCAGGTAATTCCTTTGTTGTACAGTGCATTTTAGTGCAGCATTGTTCTGTACAGAATTATACAGTTTTGTACAGTACAGTATTGTACAGTACAGTATTGTACAGTACAGTATTGTACAGTACAGTATTGTACAGTACAGTATTGTACAGTACAGTATTGTACAGTACAGTATTGTACAGTACAGNGTACTGTACAATACTGTACTGTACAATACTGTACTGTACAATACTGTACTGTACAATACTGTATTGTACAATAGTGTACTGTACAATAGTGTACTGTACAAAAGTGTACAGTACACTATTGTACAGTACACTATTGTACAGTACACTATTGTACAGTACACTATTTTACAGTACACTATTGTACAGTACACTTTTGTACAGTACACTATTGTACAGTACACTATTGTACAATACAGTATTGTACAGTACAGTATTGTACAGTACAGTATTGTACAGTAAAGTATTGTACAGTACAGTATTGTACAGTACAGTATTGTACAATACAGTATTGTACAGTACAGTATTGTACAATACAGTATTTACCTACAGTACATTGTTCTGTACAATATTTACTCGCATATATGTGCACACAGGGATTCTAAAAATATTTAAGTTTAAGTTTATTTAGACACATTTTTAGAAAGAAACTACCTACAAATTAAATAAATTAAATAAACATGAAAGTCCCATCTTTGACCTAAACTCTTTGAAATTTTAATCGGGAGAAAAAAGGTTTTTTCGAATACTTTAGGAAATACTGCACAGTTAAGGATATTTCTGATGATGAGATTTAACTTTAAAAGTTCAACTTTTGGTTCCAGATTTAGAATTCAGCTTGTGGTTGTAGATGAAGAGATTCAGCATTTAGTTCCAGATTTAAGATTCAACTTTTGATTCCAGATTCAGAACTCAGTTTGAGGTTCCAGATGATGAGATTCAGCGTTGGTTCCAGATTTAGAATTCAGTTTTTGGTTCCCAATAAGAGATTCAGCATTTGGTTGTACATGATTAGATTCAGCTTTTGGTTTCAGACTAAAGATTAAACTTTTGTTTTCAGATTTAGAATTCAGCTTGATGTTTTAGATGATGAGATTCAGCTATAGGCTCTATAAGATGAGATTCAGCTATAGGCTTTATAAGATGAGATTCAGCTATAGGCTCAATAAGATGAGATTCAGCTATAGGCTCTATAAGATGAGATTCAGCATTTGGTTCCAGATTTAAGATTCAATTTTTGGTTTCAATTTAAAGATTTTGGATTTGGTTCTAGATTTTTAGATTTAAAACTTGGTTCTAGATAAGAGATTTAGCATTTGGTTCCAGATTTAAGATTCAATTTTTGGTTTCAATTTAAAGATTTTGGATTTGGTTCCAGATTTTTAAATTTAAAATTTGGTTCTAAATAAGAGATTTAGCATTTGGTTCCAAATTTAAGATTCAACATTTGGTTTAAGATTCATTATTCAGTTTTAGGTTCTCGAAAAGAGATTCAGCATTTGGTTCCAAATTAAAGATTCAGCTGTTGGTTCTAAATTAAAGATTCAACATTTTGTTCCTGATAAGAGATTGAGCATTTGGTTCTAGAAGAAGAGATTTAGCATTTGGTTCTAGAAGATGAGATTCAGCATTTGGTTCCTGATGTTCGTTTTATTACCTTGTTATTTCCTTGCTCTTGGCTGAAGTTTATTGAACACACTAAAGTTCAATACACCAGATACAACATTCATCAAAATATTACAAAGTAATTAGAGACAGAGGAGTTTAGTTATTTTATTCTAGATGCAAGAGTTTAGTTATAAAGGATCTGGAAGTTTGGTTAGATTATTGCTTTATTTTACTTTAGATGCTAGAGTTTAGTTATGAAGGGTCTGGAAGTTTAGCTGGATCATTGATATATTTTACTTTAGATGCTAGAGTTGAGTTAAAGGGACTGGAAGTTTGGTTATATTTTTGCTTTATTTTACTTTAGATGCTAGAGTTTAGTTATGAAGGGTCTGGACATTTGGTTAGATCATTATTTTATGTTATTCTAGATGCAAGAGTTTAGTCATAAAGGATCTGGAAGTTTGGTTAGATCATTATTTTATTTTATTCTAGATGTTAGAGTTTAGTTATAAAGGATCTTAAAGCCTATAGCTTTATAATTGCTATATTTTAATTGAGATGCTAGAATATAGTTATGATTTGGTTAGCTCATTATTTTATTTTGCTGTAGGTGCTAGAGTTTAGTTATGAAGGGTCTGGAAGTTTAGCTGGATCATTAAGCAGTATAGAGTCTGGAGTGAGAAGTGTGGATTTATCAGCTGAGTTTAATGCTCTAGGATACAGGTAAAGATGGTTTTTTGGTCAGTTCTTTTTCTTTCCAACTAAAGGGACTGTAAGCGACATTTAAATTGACCTTTCATTTATAAAGGGGATTCTCCGATTCACAACAGTACCCTTGAAAACCTTGATCAAGAATAACAGACAAGTTACCTTATTTATCTATTCTTTTTAATGTGTTTTCACACATAACATTGATGATCCGTCATTGGTTTCTAGGGTATCATTGTAAATCGGGGTAGGTCAATTTAGATATAAGTTTATTTGAAACTACGCTTACATTGATATCTTCTTAAAATCAGATAAGTTAAAAATTTGACTTATTTCATTGTTTAACAGATTTTAGCACCTCTGAACACAGAATGTAATTTTTAGTAACAGATTTTAGCAACTCTGAACAGAGAATATAATTTTAAGTAAAGAGATTTTAGCAACTCTGAACAGATTATATAATTTCAAATAACAGATTTTAGCAACTCTGAACAGAGAATATAATTTCAAATAACAGATTTTAGCAACTCTGAACAGAGAATATAATTTCAAGTAACAGATTTTAGCAACTCTGAACAGAGAATATAATTTTTAGTAACAGATTTTAGCAACTCTGAACAGAGAATATAATTTCAAATAACAGATTTTAGCAACTCTGAACAGAGAATATAATTTCAAGTAACAAATCATCGTGCTATAAAGTTTTGATTGGTATCCAGATTTTCTCCAAAAAATGTTAGATATTTCCAAAATATTTTTCTTCAATTGAAAAAAAAAATGAAATCAACTTTATATTTTGACTTCTGCTTTGTTTCAAAGCTTATTTGATCTAGAAGATCTGAAAAGAAAATATAATTGTTAAGCACGTTTAGCATCTGAGAAGTTAGACTGAAATATATTTTCTAAAAGAAGGAAATAAAATAATTATTTTTGATTTGATTTTCTTCATTTTATTCTGTGATTTCTTGTTTAGGTTTAAAAAGCTGGCAGACATGTTTAAAGATGATTCAGATTCTGAAGAAGAATATTCTAATGGTGAAGTAGAGGTCTGATGTTTATAAAAGACTTGACAATCTTGAAGTGAGCAAAGTCAATAGTAAAGTTAACCAGTCAAAGTTATATGTTGTGAATAAAAGAAGTGTATATACAAAAGTATGTAGACTTTATTTCAGGAGACCTTTCCTTTTAAATAATGGCAGAATAAAAACAAAAACATTTAAATTTTTTTATTCAGTAAAAAAAGAAAAATATTGTCGTTTTTTTCAGAAATTTTTAAAATTCAGACAATTTCTTTATTTCTTATGTTGCATTCAGACCGTATTGCATTTTAGAAACCACCAATGGGAATAGACAATTATCAGACAGAAACACTTTAACTCTAAGTTATGTGGACTCTATAAAATACAATTCAATAGATAAAATGTATTAAAACAGCTGTAATATATATCCAGGGTTTCCACTGAGGGCAAATTTTTACAATTTGCGATAATTTGTCAACAAACTGCACATACTTTTCTCTAAATTGAAATTTTACGGAATCAAGAATCCCATCTTATTCATGCGCAAATAATGTTTGCAAATTATGTTTGCAAACTGGGTTTGCAAATTAGGTTTTCAAATTAGGTTTGCAAACTAGGTTTGCAAATTAGGTTTGCAAATTTTGTTTGCAAATTGGGTTTGCAAATTAGGTTTGCAAATTAGGTTGCAAATTAGGTTTGCAAACTAGGTTTACAAATTAGGTTTGCAAACTAGGTTTACAAATTAGGTTTGCAAATTAGGTTTGCAAATTAGGTTTGCAAATTAGGTTTGCAAATTAGGTTTGCAAATTAGGTTTGCAAATTAGGTTGCAAATTAGGTTTGCAAATTGCGTGAAATTGACCTTTATTTTTATTATCTCTGCGCAGTTTCCGTTGAACGAACCAGTTTTGTTGTAAAATATATTAATTATTTTTCTTTTTATCTTTTGGGTGAAATATTCTCTATCTAGGTGTTTGCACACATTTTACAGTAGTAGTAGTAGATTTAAATTGAAAACTAACCAAATTATAACTAAAATCATTATACAACCTTGTTTTTTCGTGCGTAAATTTCATTAAATTCAATCCATTAAATTCATTAAATTCCGTATTTGATTGAACAGCCTAAATAATGTGGAATTTTTCAACGCAAAAATGCCAAAAAATGCGCACTTTGCAGCGGAAATGAATATTTGCACGCAAAATTTTGTAAATTCTGCTTAAAACCCTTAATATATCCAAGTGTAAAGAAAGTATTCTGAAGAAATGAATTTGATAAAATTGTCAGAGGAATTTGTCAAGATCTATTTTTCATCTTCAGACTGTTAAAGATTTGTCATTTATAAATTAAATGTCAGATATCTTTCTTCAGATCAGGTTTAATCCAAAATTTGAATATTGATTTTATATTTAATTCTTTTTTATGTTTAAGAGAAATATATTAAATAAGTTGCCTGTGTTAAACTAATGTTAAAATCAGAAATATAAACAATAAAACTGTTCTCCCTCTCTACCTAGCAATATATCTGTGCATGTTAATACTTTGATTTCAAAGGGACCGTTCACTTATTTAAATTCTGAACGAAAAATCGGCTGAAACAATCTTGAAGTCGCAATCAGTTATTTTTTTATTTAAAATGAATTAGGGTGAATAAAAAACATCATTTAATTTATAGTTATAACGGAAAATCATCGTTTGTAAAGTGAAAGGCATAGGCCATAGAGTCTATGTGAAATGATCATTTGTCAATTATGAAACCAGCCTATTTCATAATTTGGTTTTCTTTTAATATTAATTTTAGATTTTCTATAAAAAGATGTTCCAGGGCCCAAAAGGTTATATAGCATAAATATGTGACGTACACCTGCAGTATGGAAACAGAACAAGAAAATGGATGTTTTACACTTTTTTCTAGTAAATTCCACTCAAATATATATTCTATTCTCTTTGTATGCAAGACACAAGGCCTAATAAAGCAAGTATCAACACTTGGAAACCTTAGAATAACTGTTGCGTATTTCTTTATTCTTAATACAGTCCTAATCAGAAAGACCCGGAATTAATTTATCTCATCATCATAAAGTTATAGATTATGTTGTACATATTTCAGCTAATATCTAACCCTGTGTACTTCTCTTCATAAAGTTTATAGATTAGGTTGTACATATTT